ATACCTTCAGTGGATCAACAGAGTTTTTCATCTGGCTGTCTGGTTTATTGTTGGGGGCGTTACCATCTTCATTCTCTGACTGGTTGTCTGAGTTCTTGGCGGTTTCAATCTAGAAGACGGACAGGCCAAGTGTATGCATGCATGCATGGTTTTGGTTCGCACACTGCTGCTCCAGTCTTAGAAATACTATATCAAGGAGCTATGTTGTATGGAGCATCTGCTCAGGTAATTTTATATTGCTTAGAAACCACAGACTGCATTACCTCCTCAAAAACTGATGTGTAACTGATCAATAACTCAAAAAACATGTTAATCTCTGTAAAGTGTTCTGTGGATTACTTCTTAAATTCTGCTATATGACTGAGTTAAACTGTGTGGATTGTCTGCTCAAATACTGTTCTATGGCTGAGTTAAAACTGTGTGAATTACCCCTGCTCACAAATACTGCTATATGGTTGAGTTAAACTGTGTGGATTGTCTGCTTAAATACTGCTATATGGTTGAGTTAAACTGTGTGGATTGTCTGCTCAAATCCTGCTATATGGTTGAGTTAAACTGTGTGGATTGTCTGCTCAAATCCTGCTATATGGTTGAGTTAAACTGTGTGGATTGTCTGCTCAAATCCTGCTATATGGTTGAGTTAAACTGTGTGGATTGTCTGCTCAAATCCTGCTATATGGTTGAGTTAAACTGTGTGGATTGCCTGCTCAAATACTGCTATATGGTTGAGTTCAACTGTGTGGATTGCCTGCTCAAATACTGTTCTATGGCTGAGTTAAAAATGTGTGAATTACCCCTGCTCAAAGACTGCTATATGACTGAGTTAAACTGTGTGGATTAACTGCTCAAATACTGCTATATGACTGAGTTAAACTGTATGGATTGCCTGCTCAAATACTGTTATATGGTTGAGTTAAACTGTGTGGATTGCCTGCTCAAATACTGTTCTATGGCTGAGTTAAAATTGTGTGAATTACCCTTGCTCAAAGACTGCTATATGGTTGAGTTAAACTGTGTGGATTGTCTGCTCAAATCCTGCTATATGGTTGAGTTAAACTGTGTGGATTGCCTGCTCAAATACTGCTATATGGTTGAGTTCAACTGTGTGGATTGCCTGCTCAAATACTGCTATATGGTTGAGTTAAATTGTGTGGATTGTCTGCTCAAAGACTGCTATATGACTGAGTTAAACTGTGTGGATTAACTGCTCAAATACTGTTATATGACTCAGGCTGTGGTTACACAAGATCTAAAATCTTGAGCAAATCTGAAAGTCAACAATGGGAGGATTTCACAGGACATGCAGGCATCAAATGATAGCTCTGCCAAGATGCAGACAGTTTAGCCTTTCACCGTATATTACCCTAAATTGGAGATCTCTGTGATAAGGTGATGAAGCTGATTGACTGACAGTGTGAACATCTTAGGATCACTCTCGGAAAGCATCATGAGTGCATTTTTTTTTCACTCATGAGATTCGTGAATTTCATCACTAGATCTACTGAGTATGTGCGATAATCTTTACAGACTAAGCCATACAGGATCAAACCTCATGCAATGAAATGTATCCTGTACTTAATGATTTGATGGTCTGAACAACAGATCAACATCATGGCACAAAAGTGCTCCATTCTACTTCTAACTCCAGCATGAGTCTAAATAATCTCAGTGCAGTCATGAGCTCCGTAGCACCAGGCCAGGATCTTGAACTATTTTGGGTAGATTTTAACTCCCAATTGTTAGGCTATTCTTTTTTTATTTCCCACTGTCAAAGGATTTTTTAGGTGCACAAAAATACAAACAGACATCGGATCTAACTACCCAGAGACCAGGGGCAATTACTAGAAGTCTACATTACAAAATCCCAGCCTTCCCTGGGGCCTGAACCCGGGACCTCTAGCACTCAAGAGGGACGCCATGCCACCAGATCACTCAATAAATCAAGGATTACTGGCATGGTTGACTAGGTTTGTCTGCGGCTGGTTCATTATTTACCAGGATCACTCCCGAGGAGCAGCTGGCCGAACAGTTACAATGTCAATCTCCCATGCAGGACACCCAGATTCGACACCCAGTGAGATGGAGTTTTTCCGCCAGAGGGCAAAATTTATTATTATAACTTGCAGCCCGTGGTGACAGCACTAGCTATGCAGCCCTAGATCCTCAGCTCCCCCCTCCCCCCAAAAAAGTGGTAAGTACAGACAGTAGTAAGTTTGACAGCTCCCAAAATATTAGGTAATTTTTTTTTTTGGGAGGTAATGTCTGCTTTGAATAGACGTCTGCTTGATCTGCTGGGTAGTAAAATTAAATGCCTAGTTTCCTTTCCTATGATAGGGTTCATAAAAAGGAGCCACTAGTGCAAGTTGTACACAATCAAATCTAACAGCAGTTAGAAGCTACAAACAGGAGGCCATACAGCCACTACTCTGGCAGTGCTGCTAGGAAAGAATCAAGAATCCAGTTGGAAAGAGTCCATTACCTTGGTTGGAATTTGTCTACAGAAGGGAAACTTTACATAACTGTACATCAAAGCTGGAAACAAACTATACTGCTAGATAAGAAATGAGAATTCAATGGATGGAGTCCATTACTTTTGTCTGAATTTGTCTACAGTAGAGAGACCTTAATTTTAATTCTACACCGAAGTCAGACACAATGTTCTCTTTCCTAGAGAGGTGCCTGACCAGGAATAACTCCCTCCACCGAGAGAGAAAGGAAGAAGACTCAGACTAATGCATACAGTTGCAACACAGCAAAGCTCTTTAGCATACTCATCTCTACAAAGTAATCAGATTCCATGGTGCATTGTCCAGTTAGGCAAAATGTGTTTGTTTGTGCGCACTAGAAGCATGTGTCTACAAAACACAGATCAGATCTCTCCCAAAACAAAGCTTTTAATATGTAAATCTTATTAGTAACATATTATCATGCAAACTACAATACAAATCTAAACGCAGAACACAATAAAGAATTCATGCTTTAGAAAAAAAGTGGGAACAAATAACAAACTATAAAAAAAACTAAAGGAATACTATCATGCAAAAGTTAAAACACATCACAACACATACACACACAAATTATTACTTGTGAAACAAAGTATCAGTGAACTTAGTTTAACAAGAGGTGTATAATGTCAAGAACAACAAAAACAAAAGAAAATGGATGACAGATTAGAGAAAGCACCAAACAAGAGCATAAATGGGGATAGTCACATCTGATATCAACTTGAAGTTTGCCAGCTACTTTAAAAAAAAACTAGCAATGTGGTCGAAAAGTGGTTTAAGTAGGCTGGTGAAGAAAATTGTAAGACTAACGTGATCTATCCAAGCCTCTTTTATCAACCACCTGTACTTATATATTACCTACATCATACTAAGAATGAAAGCGGCATCATCAATCTATGACAGAACTGGGGACTAGAGATAACCTGATACAAGAACTAGTGATGAAGTAGTTAAGTAATTTAGGGCTCATTTAGTGTCTCAGAGCTTCTGCTCAAGTTCATCTACATCAGCTAGAATAAAGGTACCACCAAACAAGGGCAGAACTGGGAACAGCCACATTTATTATCAACATGTTTTCTAGTTGTGTGGGGAAATACACTGTATAAAAGCAACCATTTGAAGACACATAACTCTGTCAGAATCCATTATGTTGTGTCAACTCCTAGCACCAAGGGCAGAACTGGGAACAGCCACATTTAATATCAACATGTTTTCCAGTTGTGTGGGGAAATACACTGTATACAAGCAACCATTTGAAGACACATAACTCTGTCAGAATCCATTACGTTGTGTCAACTCCTAGCACCAAGGGCAGAACTGGGAACAGCCACATTTATTATCAACATGTTTTCCAGTTGTGTGGGGAAATACACTGTATACAAGCAACCATTTGAAGACACATAACTCTGTCAGAATCCATTACGTTGTGTCAACTCCTAGCACCAAGGTCAGAACTGGGAACAGCCACATTTAATATCAACATGTTTTCTAGTTGTGTGGGGAAATACACTGTATACAAGCAACCATTTGAAGACACATAACTCTGTCAGAATCCATTACGTTGTGTCAACTCCTAGCACCAAGGGCAGAACTGGGAACAGCCACATTTATTATCAACAGTTTTCCAGTGTGTGGGGAAATACACTGTATACAAGCAAACCATTTGAAGACACATAATCTGTCAGAATCCATTACGTTGTGTCAACTCCTAGCACCAAGGGCAGAACTGGGAACAGCCACATTTATTATCAACATGTTTTCTAGTTGTGTGGGGAAATACACTGTCTACAAGCAACCATTTGAAGACACATAACTCTGTCAGAATCCATTACGTTGTGTCAACTCCTAGCACCAAGGGCAGAACTGGGAACAGCCACATTTTTTATCAACATGTCCAGTTGTGTGGGGAAATACACTGTATACAAGCAACCATTTGAAGACACATAACTCTGTCAGAATCCATTACATTGTGTCAACTCCAGGTACCAATGCCAGACTGGAACTGCCCCTATTACTTATCTAAATAATTGTGGCATCTGCAACTGGGAATACACAACTTCTTATAGGTTACATAAATAAACCAACATCCTTTGGGCATGCCTCCTCTACCAAGAGGATTAACATCAGTTCTAGACAAACTGAAAATTATACACACTAGAGCACCACACCTTTCACCAACTAAGTAAGCCTTTCTAAAACTCTTATGGAGCGTAGGTCTTGCATTGAATAAACTATTCCCGGGTGTACAGAAGGATCTCATTTGGATAGCATTTGATTTAACAAAATAATACCGAAGTCTGAGGCCACAAACTGTGAAAGCAGACATGAAACGTTTCCACTATACAAGCAAACAAATCAAAACAAGAACAACTAGTATTGTTGTCTATCAACTGGAAAACTGTCAACCTGGATGTTGCACACAAAAACACCAAAAAAACATGAGCTCAAAAGAAGAAAACAGAGCAGCAATCTGATCAAAGAGATGCTGGGACTAACCTTCGGAGAGTCTGATGAGACTACTGAGGTACCAGCAGGAGTGCTGCCGCCACTGATAGAGGTCTTGCCCATCCTCTCTTCCAGTGTACTCTGTTTGGTGACTGCAGCTTCAACATTTGCTCTTCTAGCAGAGGTGGACTGCGCCGGAGACGGATTGACACTGCTAGGACCTGAATGTTGCAACAAGTACAAAACAGTTGATACTAAACTCAATGACAAGATTCTCTTGTGTGTGTGTGTGTGCATTTATGTGTGTGTGGGTGCGTGCATGTGTGTAGGTGAATGAGAATGTGTGTGTGCACATGCATGCACATGTGTGGGAGTGAGTGAGGGAAGGTGTATGTATGTATGCATATGCATTTTTTACACCCAACTCAAGAATGATGTGAGTGTATCCGATTGTGTTGTGAACTGCAGATTCACACACAAAAAAGATAAGTGGCTTGCTGCCAGAAAACTGGCTGTGTCTTACTAGTGGCATCTGTGTGGTTTTTGTAGGCACAGGGACAGAGAAACTGTGGAGTAAGCGGTTCGCTAAAAAGTTGGAACTGCAGTTCAAATTACAAAGCAAATGGGTTAGCCTATAGTTGCTCCGTTCCTTTGCCAAAGAAAACCACACAGAACGTCCAGCACTATCTCTTGCGAAAAAACTGACACAGACTGCAGTCTCAGCAAAGACAGTAGCATACACATGCATTAAATGCATAAGGCAGCTATCAAAAGTGCTAATATGAACAATCTAGAACACAAAATGCAGTTCATGGTCAATCAAAACAGCAGATACAACAAATCAGTAGCTGCACATACAATTAATCACATACAGCACAAGCTCTCTGGCCACAGGGCCTTTTCTGAATTTGCAGTTGACAGCACAAATCAGACTGGGGGCAGTCTAGAATAATTCCAAATAAATCTGCAGCTCACAGTGCCATGCCATGCACTTACCTAAGTAGCTGGGCGCCGGGAAAAAATACACAAATAACAACAGACCAGACCAAGCAGAAATTTACAGATACCACCATTCTAAACCCTGATACAGCAATACAAACATTCAAACAGCCAATACAAACATTCATACAGCCAATAAAAACATTCAAACAGCCAATAAAAACATTCAAATAGCCAATACAAACATTCAAACAGCAATAATATAAAATTTAAAACAGTAGAGCCCAGACAAACCTGCCACTGCCAACATTCCCTCTACCTGGACTATACAATAATACAAACATTCAAACAGCAACACAAACATTCAAACAGCAACACAAACATTCAAACAGGAATACAAACACGCAAACAGGAATTCAAACAGGAATGCAAACATTTAAACAGAAGTGTACACACCACTGCTAACATTCTCTCTACCTGGACTATACAATAATACAAACATGCAAACAGGAATGCAAACATTTAAACAGAAGTCTACACACCATTGCCAACATTCTCTCTACCTGGACTATAAAATAATACAAACATGCAAACAGGAATTCAAACAGGAATGCAAACATTTAAACAGAAGTCTACACACCACTGCCAACATTCTCTCTACCTGGACTATACAATAATACAAACATGCAAACAGGAATTCAAACAGGAATGCAAACATTTAAACAGAAGTCTACACACCATTGCCAACATTCTCTCTACCTGGACTATACAATAATACAAACATGCAAACAGGAATTCAAACAGGAATGCAAACATTTAAACAGAAGTGTACACACCATTGCCAACATTCTCTCTACCTGGACTATACAATAATACAAACATGCAAACAGGAATTCAAACAGGAATGCAAACATTTAAACAGAAGTGTACACACCACTGCCAACATTCTCTCTACCTGGACTATACAATAATACAAACATGCAAACAGGAATTCAAACAGGAATGCAAACATTTAAACAGAAGTGTACACACCATTGCCAACATTCTCTCTACCTGGACTATACAATAATACAAACATGCAAACAGGAATTCAAACAGGAATGCAAACATTTAAACAGAAGTGTACACACCATTGCCACCATTCTCCCCTCCCTGGCTGTACCGGCGTGGTTTCTGATTGCTTGAGCTGCTGGTGGCCGACTGGCTGCGGGTCACTTTGTTAGGCGACTGGCCCGCGCTGTTGCTGTCATGTGGCCGCGACGAGACTCTTGTGTTCTGGAGAGACAAGTTGCTACCTGACCTGTCACTACCCTCCAACTAAAGAACAAGAACAGAAACGATAACATTTTCTGTTTGAAGTCTTTTCCCACAGATTTCAAAAACATTCTTCCATGGGGTATACTTCTCCTTTGCAAATAAAGAACACGAACATAACTGATCACATATTCTGCTGTATCGTTTCACATCTTTCAAGAACATTCTTCAACCATCCATTTTTTTTAAAAACCCCCATAATCTCTTTCTTTTGAGAAGGGTGTTTAATGGGTCCGTAACATCATTCACTCAGACTCTCAACTTGGGGAATGCTGTCCTCTTTGACATTCTAATATTTATCAATTACAATAAGTAACAGGTTAGAAGATGGAGAGATAATGTCCAGACAGACCTACAGACACTTGGTGTCACCAACTGGAAAGAGAAGGCCAACCAGAGAGATGAATGGAGGCGGGTGATATCTGCAGCAATGAACCTCAAGGGCTCAGAATGCTTAAGGAGAAGAAAAACTGGTTAGGTCAAATTCCCCAATAAATATAACTTTTCTGACTTGCATATAGTGACCTGCTAACGAGACACATAGTCAATACTATTGACTGTTTTTGCGCCTGGTCGCACACTTAGGAGTTCAACTTATGAATATATTAACTGAAAACAGCAACTGAAAAGGGAGGGGGGTATCCTCTAAGCAAAAAAATAAAATCTTTTTTTAAAAAGCCCAGTCGATGTCAAATTTTTATTTAAGTCTGTTATGGAGGTCACAGAGTAACTGCATGGGTCAACATAAATATATATATGCTCTTTATACCCTGGGGAATGTATTCTATTTAATGCTTCACCCTATTCATGTTCACTGATTACTTTTGCCATATATCTTTATATATTACAAGACAAATTTATTAAAAATGTGTAATTATTTAATTCATGACCTATGTTTAAAATAAAAAAATTTATAATTTTTTTCCCCATGTTTTTCTGGATTTTTAAAAGTTCCTAGCGTAAGAGGATTAAAAGTAAAAAGTCAAGGACACTTTCGCACGCCTTTAAGCGTATAGGGCATATAAGGTTAGACCTAAATTTTATATAACCAATCGGCACAAGATGGGTGATGTGGTCAGCATCACGCTGGCCGCCCATACTTCCCAGGACTGCAACCGGTACCCACTCAAGGCTGGGTCCACCTGGGAGCCAAAGTCACTTCAGAAAAAAGTCTGGCTCTGCCAGAGAGCGAAACCACGAGTAAGAGGATTAGGAAAGCAGCAAAACTGACAAAGTTACTTACGTCTGTTGTTCTCCTACCCAATAAGAGATAGCAGGCGTGGATGTCATCATATTTCTGCAGCTTGAGGGACTCTTCTATATCTTTCCGGTTGTAGCCCATGTTGGTCATCAGTTCTGGTGATCACAAGAAACAAACTAAAGTAACAGCTGGGTTGTCACCTGGCAATACAACAAACATAAAAGCCTAGCTCCCGTTTCCATCGCTCCTTTACATGTACACATTTTCTTCTTGTTCACCGGCTGTAAACTCCAGCTGAAAGTTATAGTTGTTTGTCCACTCGTGGATTCTGCTCTTGTTGAGTTTTCAATGTACATCAGTTTCACAAATCTGGCTCATTTGTATGCAAAATGTTAGACTGTTGGTTTTCTGTCTTTCAGGCAGATGAACCCCGCCTTTGAAGCAAATATTCTCATTAGTCGCATTGTATGATATGCTTGTCAGAAGACAGTGGTGTCTATTCACCCCCCCCCCCCCCCCCCCAAATTCTAGGTGGTTAAGACCTCTGCCTTGCAAGCTGAAGGTCGTGGGTTCATTTTATGCAGTGTAAAATTTCTGAAGATCACTGTGGTACTGTGGAGCGTTAATGGTGCTATGGAGTTCACGGTTTGTGCTGCACTCTCAGCAGGCAACTAGGGGTTCTATGGCGAGAGAGAGAGAGAGAGAGAGGGGGGGGGGAGAGAGAGAGAGAGAGAGAGAGAGAGAGAGAGAGAGAGAGAGAGAGAGAGAGAGAGAGAGAGAAAAGAAAGAACGAACGAACTTTATTTATTTTCAAAGGGTTACAAATTAGGCACGCAGGCCTGCTTACATTCGGCCCTTCCAAACTTCCATCTTTCACACAGCAGTTGTATTTCATCAATGAAGCATGTTAAATTCATGTAATAATATGCATATTATAGATATGAAGTCAAAAACAAAAGCATGGGTGGTAAAATATGCGAGCCCGCAGACACACACAAACCCAATCACTCACTTACACACAAACACATAGGCACCCAGTACACACATGCATACATACATCCATATACATACGAACATACATACACACATACATGCATACATACATACATACATACATACATACATACACACATACATACTCTCTACATACTCACATACATACATACATACATACATACTCTACATCTCTCACACACACACACACACAGTGGTTATAGACATAGATACAGAGAGAGGAGAGAAAGAGAGACAGAGAGAGATAGAGAACAGAGAGGAGAGCAGATAGAGACACACAGAGAGAGAGAGAGATGCAGAGAGAGAGAGGGAGAGAGAGAGAGAGAAAGAGAGAGAGAGAGAGAGAGAGAGAGAGAGAGAGAGAGAGAGAGAGAGAGAGAGAGAGAGAGAGAGAGAGAGAGAGAGAGAGAGAGAGAGAGAGAGAGAGAGAGAGAGAGTGCGCCACAAAGTACAGAACCTTGTTCACTGAATTCAGCCTAAACATTTTTTTTCCTAATTATTGTCTATTATAAAGGCAAGTTAAGTTCACAGTGTGTGACATCTGAGATTTAAGTGTAATGTATCTGATAAACAGCAGCTGTTAAAACAAGTTTATTATATTAAAATACTGAACTGTAAAGACATATGTTAATAACAAATGAACCCATTGGGAAACTAATGTCAAAAAAAAAAAAAAAAAGCTTTTAAATTATATCAAAATATCAACTATCACGGTACAGTTATATTTCAGAATCTGTAACTACACTGAGATAAAAGTATATTTAAGACATGCAACTACACTGAGAATACTGTGTATAAATAACTGAGAAATAGAATATGGAAATATGTTTTTACTAGCCGTCCCCTTGTGGGATGCACATTTTTTGTTATTTGAAGCCCCACCCTGGCTTTTTCCAGGGGCCCTGAATACAGCTGGGCCACAATTGTGGCCATAACGGCTGAAAGGGGTTTCTGGGACCTCTCCACAGGTGATCCTCATTCGCATGGTGGCACTTTGTGTCACCGGGTGTTCATCGTTTGTGTGATGTCCTGGTGGGGTACAACAAGCAAGCAGCAATATAGAAATATGCTAATGCTAGACTAAAAGTAACTTGACAAACGGAGCAGGGAACTAACTACATACAGACTAGAGTTTACACATTTGTTTTGCAGAAAGAGGAAAACAGTGAGACTACAGTAAAAAATACATGTCTAAAAAATGTAACTACAATGACACAAGCATAAAATATGGTTAGAACAAATGACTGTACCTGTTTGGTTTGAGTTATACAGCAGATCCACATCATGGCACAAAGGTAGTAACCCATAGGTGCTCTATTCTACTTCTAACTCAAGCCTGAGTCTGAAGAATGTCAGTGCAGTGCACAAACTCCATAGCACCGGCAAGGATCCTGACAAACTTTGAGTGGATTTTTTAACTCCAAATTTCTACCAGGGCAGTGCCGTTAGGCTACTCTTTTTGACTTCCAGCTGCCAAGGGATATTTTACGTGCGATTTTTTACACGGTCGCCCGATCTTACTACCGAGCGACCAGGGATCCTCGCCAGTGCAAAGAAGTGTGTGCACTGCGCTTGGATTCTTTCAGACTCAGGCTTGAGTTTCAATTAGAACGGAGCACTCATGGGTTACTACCCTTGTGCCATGATGTTGATCTGTCATCTAAACCTAAATCTAAACCTAAACCAGGTACATTAGGCTAGACTCCTATTTTTTATAGACCCAGCAGCTCCTGGTGGGTGATGTGGTCAATATCTTGTTTTGCGGCCTTTACTTCCCAGTATTTTACCTGGTATCCATTTAAGGCTGGGTTGACTTGGGAGATAAGGTCATGTCTGGGGAAAAAAAAAGCACTTTGCGGATTTGAACCCAGGACCTCCAGATCTGCAGGCAGGTGTCTAGCCACCATACCACAGGAGCCCCCAACATATACTCTTGAACTACCTTTAATTTTTCTTTTTATTATTTCTCTAAAGAGACAGATCTAATAACAACACCCACCCATGTCTTACTTTGTCTTGTATCTATTCATTAAGCCCACTTTTATTTCACATTTTAATTACCACTGTCTGTTTTAAGTAATTATTAATCATTTTTCTGAGACGTCTCGCATCAATTTAAATATCCTGACTGATCAATTTCCTCATAAAGTAAGAAAGTAAAGGTCCCATTTCCACGCTTTTAGGCATATAGGGCTAGACCTATATTTTTATAGACCAATCGGCACAAGATGAATGCCTTTACTTCCTGGGACAAATTCCTCATGCTTTACTTTATCAGTTTGATATAATTTACAAAGCATAAGATCTCTCTTAAATTTTTTGGCTTCCTTATCACTGAATATCTTTATCAGGCTCATATCTAGTCAGTATGACACTACTATGCCGTCCTTTACTGTATGCTTCCCCTCTTCCCTCAGCTAAACAGCATCGTTATACATTTAGAGACTACCAACAATTAGTTGTGGAAATAGTTATTTCAATTTTAAACTTAACTGAATCAACAACAGATTATTAAAATGTGCAAATTTAAATTTACTCTATATTTTAAACACAAGCAAAATCATGACTACAGTTTTTTTAAAGTATATTTTTACAAAAATCCGTAATTTAGTCAGTTCTTTGACTACTAGCTATAGTTTGCCACCCTAAAAACTGTGCAAAACCTAAAATTGTGCCATTCTGTGCAGCTGCACATGTTACACATTGCTTAAATATGGCCCTGGTCTTACCTCATCAAACATCAGCTAAACTACAGATTATCACAAACAAAACAATACCCCATGCTGAACTCAATGTAAAATCATGGAAACATGTTGCAACAACAAACAAATGTTAACAAAGCAAGCAAAAAGTGACTGTTTAGTGCAGAAATGTGCAGCCGAGATAAATGTACACTCAAGAAATCACACACACACACACAAAAGCTGTTAAAAATCACAAATGTTACAGAATATCTACACATATCCAAGAGTAAATTTAGCAAGCACAAAAACATGCATGCAATAAATGAACTCATGCAAATATAAAGCTACATTGAATGGCTGTTACTGAGAAAAGAGAGAATGCTCTAGGTTACTACAACTACGACAAGAACTGTAATGTCAATAAAAGAGCATTTCTTTAACAGTTCTCCAATAATATATTTGAAACTGAAGATTACCTCCATATCAGTTAGGTATATGTGTAGACATAAAACCTCAGCAGTGCTATGATTATTATGTTGCGATAGGTATTTTTTTTTTCTTTTCAAAGAGACGCCAACGTAAATGAGTATCATGAAATTTTCTGGGAAGTAAAAGGCCTGAGTGATATTGGCCACAACACCTAATGAGTGTTTAAACATACAGGACTAGTGTCAAGTAATCAAAACACTCCATGGCATCAAAGGGACTCATTACTTCATTTGTACATCAGTATACTGCATTATTTAAATCAAGAGATATCACTCTAAAATTAAAAAGTTGATATAAATCTCCTGTATTAAAAACATTTCTAGTTAGAACAACAAAAAAGTACAAATTAACAACTGTAAATTCACATTGAAACATGAATTGAATAAAGGGAAGGTTGCGGTTTCAACTTGACAAAAAAAAATTGTAAGCAAATCTTCCAGTTTGTCAGTTACACTCAAGGTAAGGTTTAAAATAAAATTGCAGGAAGTGATAAACTATAGCAGCATGCATTTCTGCGAGGACTCAAAACGAACAAATCAAACCAGTGTGTGTATTCCTCAGTGCCAATTTCTGTTTGCTAATGCAAAGAACTGGATCAGTATAGACTTATGAAGGAGTTTAAGGAATAAATTTAATTATTTCACACGTGACTTTTCCATATTTGGTTAGTTTTAACCCCGTCGACTCAGTCAGCCCCAAACCTGTGTCGCTGCCACATGCCTATACATATCCCAAAACCAGCCAGTCTTAGTGATCTGTTTCCAAGAAGCACTGTTTAATGTTACTGGTTCTTTTCCCACCTCCACAGTGGTTTAGGAGGCACTGGATATAAATACATTTACTAAAAACAGCATTTAGGTGGGCATGCTTGTGAACAAAATGGTTTTTATTATTCCAAGTTGACATCAACTAAAAGAGATGAAGCCTTATTACATGTTTTTGAAAACCAGAGTCTTATGGCGAATCTTTGAACCCATCAAATATGCAAACAGCGGGGAATGGAGAGTTAGAAGCAATAACAGAATTCATAATCTGTTTAAATCACCACTGATCACTGGCATCACGAGAGCTAATAGGCTGAAATGGTTGGGGCATATAAAAAGAATGTCAGATGATAGAGAAGAAAAAACTGTTTACACAAGGGAGATGAATGGTCGTAGACCACGAGGCAGACCAAGAAAATGATGGTTTGATAATGTCCAGACAGATCTGCAAACACTTGGAGTCACCAACTGGAAAGAGGAAGGCCAACCAGAGAGATGAATGGAGGCGGGTCATATCTGCAGCAATGAACCTCATAGGCTCAGAATGCCGAAGAAGAAAAAGAAAGAAAGCTGACATCAAATTTTTTCTAGGTCTCATTAAAATTGAGAAATTATTCTGAAAACCCATAAAATGTACGTATATTTGGGGTCACAGCATGGATTGTCCAGTACAAATATTTTCAGGCCTCAGGGAATGTTTTTAATTCAATGCTTCACCCCGTTCATGTTAAATGATTACTCCCTCTATATATCTGTATGTATAATTAGAAAAGCAAAAAATGTAATATGGAAGAATACGTTTTTTTTTTTCATTTATTAGCCAATCTAAAACCAAAAAATTGAGAAATTATTCTGAAAGCCCATAAAATGTACATATATTTGGGGTCAAGGCATGAATTGTCCAGTACAAATATTTTCAGCCTTTTCTTTGGGCAACAAATTAATCATCAGCAGAGCAACCTTCTCTTTATGCAACAAATGAATCATTAGTGCAACCTTCTCTTTATGCTACCAATTTTCGCAAACAAGAGGTACTCTACTAGACCAAGCCTCCGCCACCCACAACATGAGAACCCTCACTACACTACGAACAATAAAAACTAACCAACTGCTGCTACTGAAATGCTCTTTGTAACCAGCAGGAAACTGCACTCGCAGAAAATCACAAGCCCAGGAAGGTCACACAACAATTACCTATCCGAGCTTGATCTAGTTCATCTTTCGACGGTTCTTTGTACGGCTTTAATTCCTTATCTTCATAACCCATATTGATCCAACGGTCTTTCATTATTGTCTGGGTAACGAAACAAATAAGACACAGCATTATGAGCACCAGCCAATAGGAAGGACTGGATTAATGCTAACCTTACAAGGGGTAGCTGTCGGTTACAGGGTAATTCAACACTGGTACAGAACTATTTTACCGAACAGTGAAGTCTTTAGCAGCACAAATTTCTCAAATTATTCAAAATGGCAACATTCCATGTTTTCCCGTTCTAACTGAACTGTCCCAAGCATCAGCAGCTCTTTCCGTACCAAGTAACTGCTACAGATACTATTCCTAACGCATTGGTTCTGCTCTAAATTAATAAATGCTTGATCTGAGAATGTTAAAATATAACGCAACTAGATAGAAGGGGTTCAAACAATAATAGCAATGTAAAAAAGAAGCAGTTAAGAAAATGTTATCAATTTTAGTGATAACAATTAATGTACAGTTAGTTCCTTGGTACGGAATGAGCCTGCAGCCTTCCCTCCACCTGCACGAGCATCCTTATGATGCCTGATACATTTAACAAGCAAACATGTCCTGTACCAGTGTTGCATTACCGACTCTGACATGCACATGCAGCAGGCTTCCCCGAGACATCTCATAAACACAAGCGAGATGATTCTAAAGTGTTAAGACATATACATCCAAAGGATGACCAACCAGGCAACAGAATACACACACACACACAAGTCGACGAAATAAAAAAGTCTGCACGCAACAATACGAAGCAGGAGCCCAAAAGCTGTGCAGCGGCAGAGTTGCCAGGTATTACCTATCCTCATCTGATCGTGAATGTCCGGTGTCGGCTCTACATACGGCTTAAGTTCATCATCTTCATAACCTATATTCATCCACTTGTCCTTCATTATGGTCTGAATGATGATGATAAATGGGAGAATAATGAAAACAGTTCATCCAGTATATGTGCATTAGAAGAGAAGAGTTGTGACTCTATAGTGTCAAATCAGTACTGCTAGATAGAGCAGAAATGTGGACAACTAAAACAATTACTAATAAATTACAAACGTTCATTAACTGGCGCCTGTGCAGAAAAGAGGGAATTAAGTGCCATGATAGAATCACTAATGTTCAGCTTTCGGAGATAGCTAAACAAATTCCAGTGAATCTAGAGGTGAAGAAGAGATGCTGATGTTGGATAGACACACGCTGAGAAAACCCGAGAACAATATAACTAGAATGTCTTTGCACCAGAATCCACAGGGACATAGGAGAAAAAAACAGACCAAAGAACAAGAATGAAGCTAAAAATATAGGGAGGATATGGGTTGAGCCTTATATAATAGCAAAGCACAGAATGACTTGGCGTGAGTCAGTTGACAGCTTATGCTCCACTGGAGAATAAAGGGCACTAGAGGAAGAAGAAGAGTGACACTTGCAGGTATGATGTACAGTTATTGTCAGAGTTTTTTTAATTATGAGACAAGTATTTCAATCAGTTCATAATCATTCATTTAATAATCAGAATGGTCATTGTAGTAGTAGAAGTCGAGGGTCTACTTTAGCCGAGGGTCCACCTTCACCACACACAGATCACCCAATAATTAACTGCTCCACTTCTTCTATGCCAGTGGCAGTATCACAAAATGGCCTTCACTGCCCCATTTGTAAACTGGTGAACAATTAGTCCCGACAAAATCCAGAAACATGCACATGTAGCAAATGCATAAGCAAGTTACTAGAGGTGACAGCACCAACAGAGACTGTTCAACACATACAGTTCATTTCAGAGATGTTTCTTCATTTCATGCTCTCATTCTGCCATGTTTGAATCAGAGACCTGCTAAATAAACTTTTTAAACACTAAGATTTTTTGTTTAGTTCATATTCAAAAGCTGACTTGTTTATGTCACAGAAAACACACATTTATACAAGCTGACACAGAAAACAGACAAACAAGACAGATACTCATAAAGACATGCATATATTTACAGGGTATGGCATAAAGATAAGACATGGACTGACTGCCTGTGCATTAGGCACACAAATAAATAAATAGGAGACAGGACAGATATGCAAACATACAGACATAATTTGGAGTCGCCGTGGCGGAGTGGCCAGACACTCGCCGCAGATCCGAAGGTCGTGGGTTCACTCCCTGGTGGAGCCGGACTTTTTTCAAAACTGACCTTGGCTTCCAGTTTGACCAAGCCTAGAGTGGGTACCGGGTGCAGTCCCGGGAAGTAGAGGAGGCCGATTGGTCTATAAAAAATAGGTCTAGCCCTTTATGCCTGAAGGCGTGGAAAAGGGTCCTTTTCTTACTTTTACTTACAGATATAATTAAAAGAAGAGAATTGAGAGTTACAAAGAGAGAAGACGAGTAACAGAGAAAGAAGAGAGTAACAAAGAGAGAAGACGAGTAACAGAGAAAGAAGAGAGTGACACCGAGAGAGCACAGAATAAAACATTTATATAAAAGCTTATCCCCCTGCTAACCGGCCTGAAAGTCTAGGTCAACACAGCATAAAATATGTACCAGGTATAGCCTGGGGAAGTAAATGCAGCTCGCATGAAGATGACGATATCAACCACAAAACACTGATTAGTCTATATAAATATGTCTAGCATTACGTGATGGATGTGCCATTAGCAGAAACAGGGCCGTTTGGTTTACTCATAAGAGAGCGGATCGGAAGGCCGTAGGTTAGGGTCCCGACAGGGTCGTTTTTGTGTGTGCGTTTTTAAAAAATGAAAATGGCTCCCAGGTCCGCCCAGCCTCAAGTGGGTACCAGGTAAACTCCTGGAAAGTAAAGACAGCTGGCGTGATGCTGACCTCATTACCCACCAACTGGGTGTGAGGACGGAACTGGGATTCTTTTTAGCCAATAACCCCTAAGTATAACCCTTTTGTAAGACTGAATGGCAATCGGTCTCCAATGTTGGACAAACACCAGAACCGTGGCTCATTTAGTCACTGTGGTATCAGTGCACACACATACAACATACCTTACAAACTAGTTGTAACTCATTCAATCTCTGAACATTCGCATACACATTTTGTTATAGTTTAAAACTTCCAGGGAAGCATACTATTACCCGCCACATGTGTGGTCATAAAATATTGATAGTGGAAGCTGCCATTCAGGGCTTGCCAGACCTTAGTATTCTTCTTCTTTCGTCAGTGTCTGCTTTGCGCTCTAGATAACAGATGACAGGTAGCAGAGCTCAGTTGCTTAGTATGCTGGAAAGTCGTAAGCTGTTAGTGACTCCTTGAATCCTTTTTCTTCTTGGTCCCCCTCTGCCTCTTGGTGTTTCCTATGTCAAGTTAAACGGTCTCGCTGCCATCATCATTGGGGTCATTCTCATTGGGTGGCTGAACCATTTAATTCTTTAGTTTCTCAATGAATTTAATGATAATTACTGTTCCAATATTTCTTTCAATCTCTCAATTTCTCACACGATCTCTTCTGGTTCTGTTTGCAGCCTTTCTCAAATCTCTCTTTCACAGGTGGTTTTTATCTCAGATTTTATGCTTAATGTCCAAATCTTATACTGGTAACCTAAAGTTAGAACAACGATTGCCTTTATAATTTGTCTTTTTACCTCCGCTGGAACAGCCGAGTGTTTCTTTGATATACTCTGACTTGGAAAAAAAATACAACAAATGAGAGAGAGAAATCATTCAGATATTTAGAATACAAAAGCAGAGCGAATCACACATTGCTCGAGGCTGTAAAAGTTATTTTTCTGCCAAGATTGAAAAGCTCAACACAAACAAACAGCAGCAGATACAGAACTTACCTCTAAATTGGCTCGTTTTAATGGATTTAATACAAGAAACTTCTTTAATAAATTTTCACAATCGGTAGACATGTAGAAAGGTATTCTGTATTTGCCTCGTAAAACTCGCTCTCGCAACTCCTGAAATATTCATCAAGTTGAGGATTATTATATTTCCAACAGCCTATCAACAATGAATAAACACCCCATCAACAATGAATAAACACCCCATCAACAATGAATAAACACCCCATCAACAATGAATAAACACCCCATCAACAATGAATAAACACCCCATCAACAATGAATAAACACCCCATCAACAATGAATAAACACCCCATCAACAATGAATAAACACCCCATCAACAATGAATAAACACCCCATCAACAATGAATAAACACCCCATCAACAATGAATAAACACCCCATCAACAATGAATAAACACCCCATCAACAATAAATGTAAGAGGCTTAAACCCTATTAATGCAAGGATTAACATATTAAACACCATCTACACTGAATAAACCAAATGAGGGGTTTACACATCATCTACAATAAATGCACAATGTGAGAAGATTACAAATATCTACAATAAATACACAATGTAAGAAGATAAGTTCTTATGAACTTGCCCGCCTGGCAAAAGTTCCTTCCCCTCCCATTCATGGCTGGCAAGTTCGTGACAAGCTCCAAAGATTAATATAAACTACTATAAATAAACAATGCAAGAGGATTACCACACTGCTGATTCATCATCCAAAATTTTTAAAAACAAACATTTTGAGAAGGTTAATACATTGCTGGCGCACATTTCTTTTTCTTCTTGCACCCTTTAGCCCCACCCCAAAGGAGCACAGATTCGCAACCAAATGGTTCTAAGGAAGCCTGGAGAAGGACAGTAGGAAGGGAAATGAAGGAGAGGGGATACCAAGGGCAGAGAAGCAGCAGCCTGGCAACAATAGAGATAACTCGTGAATGCTGTATCTGTCAGCAATTACATGAAGAGGATATGGATAGACATTACCCAATGGAAGCTGCCATGTCCTCAAAATGTTTACTTTGCTGGTTGGTGCTGTGTCTTAACCCAGCTGTCAAATACCAGCAGAGGTACGTTCCCTTCTTAGCATTCACCAGCTGTTAACTCCTATCAAATATTATGGCTGTTCATGCACTTGTGGACTTTGGTCTTGTTTCAAAACTTAAATTGTGTAAGCACATCCATTTTACAGATCTGGCTCATCAAACGCAGACCTTTGGTTCCTTGCCTCTCCGGCAGATGTACTTCACCTTGAAAAGAAATATCCTAATTAGCCCCGCCTCTTATGATACGCCTGTGAGGGAGGCAGTCAGCCTATTTTTTTCATCTCCTTTCCCCCCTCCCCCAATACACCCTAGAACCCACAGGGGGATCAATCAGCACAGTTACATTATTGTTTTCCCAATATCCAGGTGGCATGAATACCCCCCGAATACACTCACATGTAATATAAGTTCACTCACTTTGAGATTCTGGCCGTCAAACGGAAGTGACCCACTGACCAGTGTATACAATATCACACCTAAACTCCACACGTCCACCTCTGGTCCATCATATTTCTTTCCTGAAAACATTCAGTGGCAAGCACAAGTCAGAACATTAATTGTCAACTTAAGTCAAATAGTAAAGGACCCTTTTTAAAGCCTTCAGGCATGCTGGCTATACAGGGCTAGACTAACCAGCACTTTGTGGGTGATGTGGTCAACATCTCGCCAGCAGCCTTTGCTTCCCAGTACTGTACCTAGTACCGATTTACCGCTGGGTCAACCTGGGAGCCAAGGTCACTTTTGGAGGAGAGAAAAAAAAAGTCTGCCTCCATTGTTAATTTGATCAGAACAAAAATGATTGTGGCTCTCAGCTGGACCTAACCTAAAATGAACAAAAGGAAGTGTTTAGGGAAGCAAAGGTAACTGGTGTGATGTTGACTACATAATCCATTGAGTGCTTTTGGTCTATAACAGTTGTTCTTTCACCCGTGGGCTGCGGGGAAAACTCAGGTGGGCCACCACAAAATTATGTCTGCACCCGTGACGGACGGGTGGGTTAGGTTTTTCTCATCCACAATTTCTGTTTACAGGACCAACACCTCAAGGATGAGAATCAAACAGGGGAAAAAATGTTCCACTACATAAAATAGTGAAATTATGGCATCTGACAGTTACATAAGCTGTAGCCCAGTCTGGGACAATAACTCATGTAGCAATTGTATGATTTCGCCAAAGCGATTGTTTTATTTTGTTTGTGTTTTATTCGTTATTTCGGGCCACGAAATATGTTCCCTGTTTTGGTTGGTTGCAGATATAGAAAAGTTAAGGAACACTGGTCTATAAAATATACTGTCTAATAGCCTGATGTGCCACTGGTACGGAAAAGGTCCTCTACTTTACTTTAACAATAAAAGTAATGAAACATGCATTGTTAGTTCAAAAAGAAGACTGAATAATAATTTATTGTAAACTCAATTAGTCACAAACCATTCATTGTTAACTTAACATGAACACTGAATCATTCATGTTAACTCAAGAAGAACAGTGAATTATTCATTGTTAACTCCATAAGACATTCAAACACTCACTAGATAAGATCACTCAACCATTCACTACATAGGCAGCAAAACATCACCAGCTGACAAATCACAAGATAAGACTGATGACAGGTAAAACAAAGCAAACCAACTCATTGAGCAAATGGCACCAATAGTGAGAAACTATATGTCAGTGGAAACCAAGAGAGCACTCTATGACACAATCTTTTCGCTAACTGTGGTATCAATGCCAGAACTGGACAATGAAAGAAAACAAGAAAAGTAAAATTTAAAAAAGTAAAATTAGATTCCTGCAATGGGCTCTTGATATAACTAACAATAAGAGATCAGATCAGGCCCAAAAAATCCAAAGAAAGGTAGGGGTAGCGAAAGCTCTCCATTTCTTTAGCAAACAAGTGAAATGGTTTGGCCACGAAACATGGATGTCAACCAACCATATACCACATCAGGCAATGATGTACAGACCAGGCAGGAAGCCAAGCAAAGGCCGGTCATGCAAACGACCGACTAGAAGAACTGGTTCTGCGCTGACTTTTTCTCTTATGACCTCATTCCTGACTTTATCTCTTCTAGTCACTCCTGCAGAACTTCTCATAGATCTGAATTCCACGGTTACTAATTTGCATAAATACATCAGTGGTAACATTCTTTGCTTCCTTTAAAGACCAGAAAAACAAACTTTCTCTTGTGCTCCTTCTCCCCCGATGAAACATAGGCCTCAACCAACACAACCCAAGTCGTCCTATATTTCGCAGCTCACCCCCGGCAACCCAATAACAAACAAACATTTTTTGTTTAAATCTATTCAGTGTACGCATTCCATTCATTTGACGTCAGGTAATCATTCTGTCCCCTTCCATCTAATTAACTGACGGTTGGTGTTCTATCTTTCCTTAACAAAGGTTTCAATACAAAACACTGTGTTGCGTTGGTGACTGTTTACTTTGGCGAATCAATAACACACCTGTTATTGCAACATTTATTGATTCATCCCCTGCTGCTCAAAAACTGTCACACTGCTTCCAAATTTCAGCAGTCTCTTGTTTGTACAGGAGAATTCTGGCCCTAGCAGCCAATACGACATAAACTAAATAAATACTCCTTCGGCTGACTTTATGTCCAAGTATGATAGAATGCTTGTATACACACACAACGAAGCTGTAATGGCACACTAAAATACTAGCGTACTTGGTGTACCACACAGAAATGAATGATGGGTTTGAAGACAATGGTTGGAGTCACTGAGGAAATCGCATCTGGCACGATTCAGTTTCATTTCTGTGCCAGGATACTCTGGGGTAAGAGGGAAAGAATGAGCATATTGGCTTGCCGGCAGGACCATGGTAGGTACAGGACACACAATGGTCCAGGCCGATGTTCTCAGTGCTCTCAAAGGGGTGTCACGGGTGAATAATTCAGGAGATGACGCTGAGTTGACAACATTCAAAAGACTGCAGGAACTTCAGGTCAAAGGAGGTATTACCAGATATGAACATTATACAGGTAGCCAAGAAGAATAGTTAACCAACACAGAACTAGTGTTACCAACATTATACAGGTAGCCAAAGAAGAATAGTTAACCGACACAGAACTAGTTTTATCAGCAATGACACAATGAGGGACTTTTTTTTTTTAAAGGTGACATCCAAGCACTTATGAGGATAATCTGTCGATAAACTAACTATAGAAACGATGTCTGAGAAGGGCTGCTAAAGTGACCAGAAGAGATCAAATCAGGAATTAGGTCATAAGAGAAAAGGTCGGCACATAACAAATTCTAAATTATTTACAAAGACAGTAAATCAAATGGTCTGCCAACTTGGAAAGAATGCCCTGTGACGACATACCATACAAAGCACACATTAAAGAAAAGAAGGACTCAGAGCACAAGGCAGACCAAGAACAAGATGGAAAGATAACATCAGCATGATGTGCATATGGTAGGGGATGCCAGAAGAGCAAGAAGCCGAACCTTATATCTATCTTGACATCTGAAAACAAGTAAAAGAGAAAGTGAGAAAGAAAAAGCATACCACAAATAGACCAGATTCTTTTTCTTCTTTGCATTCACCAGCTGTAAACTCTAGCAGAAAGTTCTGGTTGTTCGTCCACCTCTAGACTTTAGTCTTGCTCCAGAACTTGAGAGTTGCGTGCACATCCCTTTTATAGATCTAACTTATTTGTATGCAGATTGCTGTTTCTTTTGCCTCTCAGGCAGATGCACTCGAAGGAAACCCCTAATCAGTCGACTCTTACAACCTGCTTGTTGGGGAGGCAGTGGAACTATTCTTGAATTCCCCACAATGAGGCCCCAGAACCCACACGGGGAAGACCAGAATCAATCCCCAGAACCATTTTCTAAATCCAGTACAGCTCTAAACTCGTCAAAGATGCAAAGTCCTGCTCTAGACTCGTCAAAGATGCAAAGTCCTGCTCTAGACTCGTCAAGATGCAAAGTCCTGCTCTAAACTCGTCAAAGATGCAAAGTACAGCTCTAAACTCGTCAAAGATGCAAAGTCCTGCTCTAAACTCGTCAAAGATGCAAAGTCCTGCTCTAAACTCGTCAAAGATGCAAAGTCCTGCTCTAGACTCGTCAAGATGCAAAGTCCTGCTCTAAACTCGTCAAAGATGCAAAGTCCTGCTCTAAACTCGTCAAAGATGCAAAGTCCTGCTCTAAACTCGTCAAAGATGCAAAGTCCTGCTCTAAACTCGTCAAAGATGCAAAGTCCTGCTCTAAACTCGTCAAAGATGCAAAGTACAGCTCTAAACTCGTCAAAGATGCAAAGTCCTGCTCTAAACTCGTCAAAGATGCAAAGTCCTGCTCTAGACTCGTCAAAGATGCAAAGTCCTGCTCTAGACTCGTCAAAGATGCAAAGTCCTGCTCTAAACTCGTCAAAGATGCAAAGTCCTGCTCTAAACTCGTCAAAGATGCAAAGTCCTGCTCTAGACTCGTCAAGATGCAAAGTCCTGCTCTAAACTCGTCAAAGATGCAAAGTCCTGCTCTAGACTCGTCAAAGATGCAAAGTCCTGCTCTAGACTCGTCAAAGATGCAAAGTCCTGCTCTAGACTCGTCAAAGATGCAAAGTCCTGCTCTAAACTCGTCAAAGATGGAAAGTCCTGCTCTAGACTCGTCAAAGATGCAAAGTCCTGCTCTAGACTCGTCAAAGATGCAAAGTCCTGCTCTAGACTCGTCAAAGATGCAAAGTCCTGCTCTAGACTCGTCAAAGATGCAAAGTCTTGCTCTAAACTCGTCAAAGATGCAAAGTCCTGCTCTAGACTCGTCAAAGATGCAAAGTCCTGCTCTAGACTCGTCAAAGATGCAAAGTACAGCTCTAGACTCGTCAAAGATGCAAAGTCCTGCTCTAGACTCGTCAAAGATGCAAAGTCCTGCTCTAGACTCGTCAAAGATGCAAAGTCCTGCTCTAGACTCGTCAAAGATGCAAAGTCCTGCTCTAAACTCGTCAAAGATGCAAAGTCCTGCTCTAGACTCGTCAAAGATGGAAAGTCCTGCTCTAGACTCGTCAAAGATGCAAAGTCCTGCTCTAGACTCGTCAAAGATGCAAAGTCCTGCTCTAAACTCGTCAAAGATGCAAAGTCCTGCTCTAGACTCGTCAAAGATGCAAAGTCCTGCTCTAGACTCGTCAAAGATGCAAAGTCCTGCTCTAAACTCGTCAAAGATGCAAAGTCCTGCTCTAAACTCGTCAAAGATGCAAAGTCCTGCTCTAGACTCGTCAAGATGCAAAGTCCTGCTCTAAACTCGTCAAAGATGCAAAGTCCTGCTCTAAACTCGTCAAAGATGCAAAGTCCTGCTCTAAACTCGTCAAAGATGCAAAGTCCTGCTCTAAACTCGTCAAAGATGCAAAGTCCTGCTCTAGACTCGCCAAGATGCAAAGTCCTGCTCTAAACTCGTCAAAGATGCAAAGTCCTGCTCTAAACTCGTCAAAGATGCAAAGTCCTGCTCTAAACTCGTCAAAGATGCAAAGTCCTGCTCTAGACTCGTCAAGATGCAAAGTCCTGCTCTAAACTCGTCAAAGATGCAAAGTCCTGCTCTAAACTCGTCAAAGATGCAAAGTCCTGCTCTAAACTCGTCAAAGATGCAAAGTCCTGCTCTAAACTCGTCAAAGATGCAAAGTCCTGCTCTAGACTCGTCAAAGATGGAAAGTCCTGCTCTAAACTCGTCAAAGATGCAAAGTCCTGCTCTAGACTCGTCAAAGATGCAAAGTCCCTGTGTGGGTTCCGTGGAGGATAATAGGCTGTAATAATTGGGGCATACAGAAGGAATGATAAATCACAGAGACCAAAACTGTGCATGCAAAGATGTAGACCATGAGGCAGACCAAGAAGCAGAAGAGATAATATTCTTCAGTTCTGCAAACTCTTGGAGTCACTGACTGAAAAGAGAAGGCCAATCATAAAGATGAATGGAGGCGAGTGTGATCTGCAGCAATAAACCTCAAAGGCTCAGAATGCTAAAGAAGATGAAGAAGGATAAGGAGCAGGAGAAGAAGTACAACTCTGAGGTTTCATCTAATTAGTAGCCGATGATTAAGAAGAATTTTGAAGCAACAGAGATGTGGTTTCTGAGACAAATATTACGAATACCTTGGACGGCCAGAGTAACAACGATTATTTGAAAGAAGCTAATGAAAGTAGATCTCTATATACAACAATAAGAAGCAGACAAACACTGTTCTTTGACCACGTAATGAGAAGAGAGGTATTGGAAAATATTGGGACAACTAGAAAGATCAGTGGAAAGAGGGGTAGAGTCATCCCCAGAGAGACGCTGGATGGGCTAAAATGATGGCATGGAGGGATATCATCAAGAGAGCTGTTCCAGGCAACCAGGGATCGTGATCTGTGGAGATGCATGAGCTCCTACGCCAACTGGCAGGGGCACATGATGATGATGATTTTCTACAAACTCAGTGAGAAGGCAATAAAGGGACCTGGCTACCCAGTCCAAGCTGTGTGGTGTGTCACTAGATATGTCCACAGCTTCCTGCTTCACACCGTGGACAGATAAGTGTAATGAAGACATTTTCAAAGATAGAGATTACTTATTTTTTTTTTTATAACAGAAATCCTTTGGAAACTTCACAGGGTGTAAACTAAAACTATGACAGAACCCACGGGGGGGGGGGGGGGGGGGGGAGGATATAAACACACAAAAGGCAGGAGGAGTGTTTAGAGAAGGAAATCTAGGGAAGTCAAAGGAAATAAATAACACGAACAGAAAGCAGGATAAAACAAGTCAATCTTACCCTGAAAAAGCTCTGGTGCTGCGTAAGGAGGACTGCCACAAAAGGTATCCAATTTGTTGCCGGGGACAAACTCGTTGCTAAAACCATAATCTGCTATTTTTATGTTCATATCACTATCTAAAAGTAGATTTTCAGCCTGCAGAGAAGAGAAAACGTTTATGAAAGAGTGCATTCTAAATGGAAGGAACAGTAAATCATTTAAGTCATATTTCATAAAAACAAAATAATGCACAGTGCAGTGTGTCTTTTCTCCCCCAATGGGGCTCTGAAAGCCACACAGGGGGACTTAGTGTAAAATGGGTATTAGGAAGTGCTGCAGGAGGCAAAGGGGGCTGGCATAATACTGACCATACCACATATCAAGTACAGACTGGTCTATAAAATATGTGAATACCTCATAAACACAATATTCTCCAAAGCAGGAAAACGGTCGTTTACTTCTTATCTGCTAATCAATTTACCCAGGAGTGGCTGGCCAGTTAAGAACACAGGGCTCTCGTGCTGGAGACCCAGTTCAAATCCCCTGTAAGACTAGGGGCACACAAAAATGCTAACCTGCAGTCTGTGGTGACTGCAGTAGCCCTGCAGCCCTAAATCCTCAACCTGCCTACACCACAAAAGTGGCTAATACAGGTAAATAGCAGGGGTTTTTTAAATTCAATTTACTATAGGTAATTACTTTAGCACCTTCTGAGTTTGAAATTCTCCCTCTCTCCTCCCTCAGCACTCTTTCTCTTCACCCTGCCTCTTCCTGTCTCAAAGTCCACAACCCTTTCCACAGTATTTCAGACATGAATAAAGGTAACATTTTAAAACACAGTCTAAACAAATTAGATAGAACATCACAGGCTAGGGACGCGAGCACAGCAGTACAAATAAGCAACAGAAATACCTTTAAATCTCTATGTACAATGAACTTCTGATGGCAGTATTGCACTGAAGAAACAATCTGGGGAAAAGACAACATGACAACAATTAGTGACATTTGCTTTAGGGTTGAAACATCGTTTCTAGCTGTACTAACTGCAACTGAGTCTGTCAGCTCATTTCAAATTTAGATGATTTAAGCAAAATGTTTTCCTAGCCAGCTCACCGTACCCTGCCAGACAAAATCCTTTCCTGGCCACTTAGCCAACAAGTCACACAAAATGTTTTCCTAGCCAGCTCACTGTACCCAGCCATACAAAATGCTTTCCTGGCCACTTAGCCAACAAGTCACACAAAATGTTTTCCTAGCCAGCTCACTGTACCCTGCCATACAAAATGCTTTCCTGGCCACTTAGCCAATAAGTCTCACAAAATGTTTTCCTGGTCACTTAGCCAATAAGTCTCACAAAATGTTTTCCTAGCCAGCTCACTGTACCCTGCCATACAAAATGCTTTCCTGGCCACTCAGCGAATAAGTCTCACATAATGTTTTCCTAGCCAGCTCACCGTACCCTGCCAGACAAAATCCTTTCCTGGTCACTCAGCGAATAAGTCTCACAAAATGTTTTTCTTGCCAGCTCACTGTACCCAGCCATACAAAATGCTTTCCTGGTCACTTAGCCAATAAGTCTCACAAAATGTTTTCCTTGCCAGCTCACTGTAACCAGCCATACAAAATGCTTTCCTGGTCACTTAGCCAATAAGTCTCACAAAATGTTTTCCTTGCCAGCTCACTGTAACCAGCCATACAAAATGCTTTCCTGGCTACTTAGCCAACAAGTCTCACAAAATGTTTTCCTAGCCAGCTCACTGTAACCAGCCATACAAAATGCTTTCCTGGTCACTTAGCCAACAAGTCTCACAAAATGTTTTCCTTGCCAGCTCACTGTAACCAGCCATACAAAATGCTTTCCTGGCTACTTAGCCAACAAGTCTCACAAAATGTTTTCCTTGCCAGCTCACTGTAACCAGCCATACAAAATGCTTTCCTGGCTACTTAGCCAACAAGTCTCACAAAATGTTTTCCTAGCCAGCTCACTGTACCCAACAAGTCTCACAAAATGTTTTCCTAGCCAGCTCACTGTACCCAACAAGTCTCACAAAATGTTTTCCTAGCCAGCTCACTGTACCCAACAAGTCTCACAAAATGTTTTCCTCCTCACTTCATTCAACCATGACTAGCTCCAGCTGACAGGCCGTGCTGCTGATGTCACCAGGTCGGGCAAACAATGCGTTAAAGCAGCGGTTTTCAAATTGGGTGCCGTAAGCGTATGCCAGGGGTACCACGGCAATAATCAAGAAAAGTCGGCTGAAAATTTTGAAATTTTTAAAGAAGGCATGTAGACACTTAACAGTTAGAAATCAAGTTGTCTTTCCTCGCCACTGCCGAAAATAGTTTATTTCTTGTTTAAGAACCGCTGCATTAACTCATCGTTAGCCTGACACAGTGACATCAGCAGCATGGCCGGCAAGCTGAAGCCGGTTGTGATTCAACACAGTCGCATACAATATTTTCCTTACCACTTCATTTAACTCGGTCGTGATTCAACCCAGTCGCATACAATATTTTCCTTACCACTTCATTTAACTCGGTCGTAATTCAACCCAGTCGCAAACAATATTTTCCTTACCACTTCATTTAACTCGGTCGTGATTCAACCCAGTCGCATACAATATTTTCCTTACCACTTCATTTAACTCGGTCGTGATTCAACCCAGTCGCAAACAATATTTTCCTTACCACTTCATTTAACTCGGTCGTGATTCAACCCAGTCGCAAACAATATTTTCCTTACCACTTCATTTAACTCGGTCGTGATTCAACCCAGTCGCAAACAATATTTTCCTTACCACTTCATTTAACTCGGTCGTGATTCAACCCAGTCGCAAACAATATTTTCCTTACCACTTCATTTAACCCAGTCTCTTCTTCTTTTTCATAGTAACTGCCGTGCGGCATTGGTAGTCATGTCTATCCACAACTTTCTGTCTCATGTACATCAATCAACTCTGACACAGATGATCCTCCATGCCATGATGTCAAACTGTCGAGCATCTTTTCTCTCAATCTCCTTTAGGCTCTCCTCCCCTCCAACTTCTCTACTGTCATGCTGTACTCCAGTTTTCTCCTTTTCATCACATGACTAAAGAATGTATATTGTCTATTTTGTTTGTTGGCAGTGAGTCGGCTTCTTTCCAGATATCTGTCTCATAAAGCAGTTAATACTTATCACATCCGACTGTAACAAATGTAAACCGAGAATAAACAAAAGTGAATCGTAACACAGTCTGACCTGCCTGAACTTTGCCCTGGCTTCCTTCTCCTTCATGCGACCATGAGCAACCAAATAATCAAACACTTCACCTGAAAATAAATGAACAATGCTGAATGAGATTACGACAAGCATCTCCTTTGTCGATGTGGAAGACAAGGAGAAACCATCACCCTTAAATTCTCAATAAAAGTCAGATTCAACACTAGATTAGAGAATTAGGACCCATTTCCAGGCTTTCTAAATTCTCAATAAAAGTCAGATTCAACACTAGATTAGAGAATTAGGGCCCATTTCCAGGCTTTCTAAATTCTCAATAAAAGTCAGATTCAACACTAGATTAGAGAATTAGGGCCCATTTCCAGGCTTTCTAAATTCTCAATAAAAGTCAGATTCAACGCTAGATTAGAGAATTAGGGCCCATTTCCAGGCTTTCTAAATTCTCAATAAAAGTCAGATTCAATACTAGATTAGAGAATTAAGGCTCATTTCCAGGCTTTCATGCATCCTTGACACAGAGAGCTAGACCTAGATTTTATAGATCAATCGGCACGGTGGCTGACGTGGCCAAAATCACTTCCCAAAACTTTAATCCGCTAACCATTTAAGGCTAGGTCGACCTGGCAGCAAAGATAAATTTGTTTTAAAAAGCCCTTCTCCATCGGGACCCGAAGCCACAAACTTTGGATCCACAGTGGCTCGCAGATTAGAGCAATAGGTTCATAAATTACCAGCCAGCCTATCGACTAAAATGAAAAATCATCTTCTGCATTTGCCATTAAAAGGGCAGCTGGTATACTGTGTTGTGGTTTGCAGCTAGGCTGTGATATCTTCATCTGTTGGCCCAACACATCTGATCTCAGCATCTTGCCCTCCCACCCACACACACACAATTCTGCCCCCCCCCCCCCCCTTCCCAAATTCTCACTGAGCAATAACCTGGCAGTATGACTAACTGCTGATAAACACTTGCACACACTGCTACACGGCACTGGGTCAAAGGTCAAATACCAATCAAATGCTCGATCATTTTAGACAGCAAACTGAAAATAGCACTGTCCAGTTCTTACATAACCTCTTCTTCTCTTGTGTTCACCAGCAGCAAGCTCTGGTGGATAAGTTCTAGTTGTTTATCCATCTCCAGACTTTAGTCTTGTTCCAGAAACTGAGAGCTGAAATCAATTCCTTTTACAGATCTAGCTGATGTGTTTGCAGACTGTTAGTTTCTTGCCTTTCAGACAGAAGCACCTCGACTGAAAAGTATACCCCCAATTAGGTGACTTCTATGACATGCTTACTATTGGGTCTAATCTTGTTATCCCCCACAATAGGGCCCCATAAGCCCAGACAGGAAGGTCCAAGGTTAAATACCAATCCATTGATTGACCATCCAGACAGCAAACTGGAAACAAAACAGTACATTCTTACATGACAAACTACGAGTATATGGCAGACAGTGCACACAACTTACCTCCACTTGCATACTCCATGACAAGGTAGAGTGTTTTCTCTGTTTCTATGACTTCAAATAACTTCACTGCAAAGACAGAAAAACCTGCAGTTACTATTTTACTAATATTCTCTGGATACCAAGTGAAATATCATCCATCAATGTTTTACTTAGAACAACATTTTAACAACAAAAGGACCAGCTAGTACAGATGACGGCTCTGTGGCTAAGTCGATGCGAACGCATTGTAATGCCGGGTTCGATCCCAGCTGCGGGCCATGCGCTGTGCGTTGGTTTCGACAGTGGTATCAAGGAAGCCGACCGTCTAGAAAGCAATGGCAAACTACTGGATGTAAATTTGCCTAGAAAAACCACACAACAGCAAGGAGCTGTTGGGGTTGGTTCTGCAAAATCCTGCAAAGGATACACAACTAACCAAACCTAGTACAGATAATATTTTGCTCAACCGAGACAGTAACACACTGGATAAACATATCTTGGCCCTGTCATCAACATCATCCTTTGTCCTGTGTGTGCCGTTTGATGTCACATTCAATTCTTCCAGTCCGCTCTATTGCACGCAACTCTCTCTCTCTACTTCTGACAAGGAGTTTAACCCAGCGTTTTTAGCTTCTCATAATAATGTTCTTCTTACTGTTTCCCTAGGACGTCCTCTTTTACTCAGACCGTTTGTTTCCCATTTTAGTGCTCGTTTTGTAATTCTTTGCTCATTTCGCCTCAGTGTGCCCAATATACCACCACCTTCTTTGTCTGCAGCAGATACCGGTATTTCTCCAGACATGTGGCCCTATGCTGTTCTCCTTAAATAACTTGTTTTCTTCCATTCCTTTGATCAATTTTTTTTTAATCCACTGAAACACTGCAGATCAGACCCAGTTTCGGAAATAATCTGACTAAGGGGTACACCACTCATCATCATCGAGTGCCTTGTCGCATGGTGTGGGCGATCATGCGCCTCCACAACCTGTGATCCGCTACTGCATGTAACATGCCATGACAAAAGACTGTTAAGAATCTACTCGCGCTGTCTTCTCTATCTCCCTTTCCACAGATCTTCCCAGTGGTCACAACATGTTCCAGTTTCCCTCTTCTCATAATGTGACCAAAACTAATATCTGTCTCTTTCTGATTTTTATGATAAGTCATCTTCAAACCCTTACCTCATTCAAAACATCTGGGTTGCTCTTTTTAGCAGTCCTGTGAATTCTAAGGATTCTTCTGTACAACCACTCAAAGAAATTGTTGGCTTGTTTATTAATCATCCAGGATTCACAGCCGTATGGTGAAACTGGCTCTATATAGCAAGTGAGCATTCTTTTTCTAATCTCAGATTACATAGATTTATTGCACAAAATGCTCTTCATTTTATAAGATGCAGCGTGAGCCTGTCATATTCTGTTCTTTATCTCTGTGATACATCTTCTGTCGGATGTTATCCATGTACCTGGGATACCACTCGAGAGATATATATATTTTGCAGTCTCGTTTCAAGTGTGTTCCACTGTCCCACATATTTCTTTGATCTTTGTTTAGAAACACTTTCAATTACTTTAATAACTATAAACAATGTTTGAACAGTTCAACAAATTCTAATGACATTAACAACTTACCAATGTTTGGATGGTCTAACAACTTCATTATTCGGACTTCACGGAAAAGCTGTAAAATATACACGAAAACAAATCAATATGTAAGTAAGACTCTGAACTGAGAAGCCACAAATCAGGCATATACGCCCAAGAAAACTAAAATCAAATACTAAAATACCATTCAATAATGAAGTTCACAAAAATAAAAAATTAGACTAAAATAAATAATCTTTACAATCTATTGAGTGAACAAAAAAAAAAATACAGTGAAATTCATAACCCCCCCCCCCCCCCCCCCCCAAAATTCAGACATACCCAAACAATTTGAGACAAACGAAAGAAAAGGAAGAAGAAGATATAAAATGAGCATTTCATCAGTAACAGAAATACAAAATAGATCAGAACATTTGGTTTGACTAATTAAAAAAAAAGTTTCTTAAAATTCAGTGTCACTGCCAACATAGTGTACATGGAATTGACGAGTTAATTATTATGAAAGTCAATAAATCCGCCACATGCTATTTAATCAGGTGGTTAATGAGTGAAAAGATAAATGGATGGTGCATATATTTACCAAGACAGCAGTCCGGATTCGATCCATAAAAAAGGCAATATTTTCTCCTAGTTTCATAAACTGGTACAAGATAATTTGCACAATTCAGTGAAAATTTAGCAGGAGTTGAATGTAATGAGGAAGGAAACTGGACACCCCACTGTATCTACCATGATCTAGTGTATGTGAATGTCTAACAGTGATATCCTTTTGTTATTTATTAACAAGACTACACCGGCCTTTCCTGTCTTCAGGAAATACAGAAAAAGGATAAAGTAAAACTATTTCCATCACCCTTTCTTTTGGTGCACTGGCATGTACTGTAGTACTAGACCTACATTTTTTTTATAGACGAATCAGCACTTGTGAGATGAGGTCAATATCATTCTGGCCGCATATACTTCCCAGAAAATTTGCTGGTACCCTTTTTATTCCTGGCTGACCTGATAGCCAACAACAACATTTAACATTTAAAAAAACATCTAGGCGTAAATGGCCGGCAGTCAAGCATCTATTGTTTAACTATAGCAGATGCCCCCACCGCCCAAAATAGTACACAGAGGGAAACAATTTTAGCAACAAGTGTACATCTATGATGCAGAACTAACAAGCTGAGTAGTATCATGTTCAACATAAGAAAGAAGAGGAAAGGAGTGAGTCAGTTCATTACACATGGACCAGTACTAAATGTAAGCCAAGAGTGCTGAATGCGGATTTCCCTTGTGGTGCATGCAACAGTTAAAAGGAGAGAGATTTGTCTCAGCTGTCAATTACAGCCAGCTGGCTAGCTTGGTAGGTCTAGAATACATCAATAGATTTGACTGGCTGCTGCCGTGTACCAGTAAAACTGGGACAAGGTCAACAGAGAAAATAGTATGTGCTAATGATATGGGGGGAGAGGAGAGGGAGGGCTGTTGTGCATTTGTCATAAGTAAGGGAGTGGGGAAGGGAGAAAAATATGTGACAGTGGGTACCAGAACATGGATTATGCTGTCATAAAGAAAAACAAATGCAGATAAGTGAGAGAGGTAGAGAGAAGAATGTAGAGATACAAAGGACATCGATGGGAGACTGGAGATGATACAGATGGGATTTAGAATTATATAGATGAAAGATTGAAAAGATGATATTGATAAGAGGTAGGAAAGATTGTAAAGACAGAGAATTGGAGAGACGATGACGATAAAGAGATGATAGATATAGCAGGCTGGAGAGTTTAGAGTTTGGGGAGAAGTTAGAGATGGGAGGTTGGAGAGATAGTAGGTTAGGGAGATGGTAGAGATGGGAGGTTAGGGAAATGGTAAAGATAGGAGGTTAGGGAGATGGTAGAGATGGGAGGTAAGGGAGATCGTGGAGATGGGAGGTTAGGGAGATGGTAGAGATGGGAGGTTAGTGAGATGGTAGAGATGGGAGGCTGGAGAGTTGACAGAGATGGGAGACGAGATTATAGAGATGGTAGATGACAGAGACTTGATTGGGGGATGGGGGGGGGGGGGGGGCAGAAATGCTAAAACTGGAAAACTGGAGAAAACAGAGATAAGAAAGGTTGTGGATAAAAGAGGTGGGAGGTCTAAGAATTAAGAAACTATAAACATTTTAGAAATCACAGGATAAAATCTGAGGGCAGAAAATAACAAGTGATGAATACATAACATAAGCCACACAAAAGAAGAGATAAAAAGAACAAAGAAAGATGCGGAAGAAAACTAAAGGAGCAGAAAAGAAAGTAAAAAAATAGGGCTGCAGAAAATGGATAAAGAAATTGGAAGAGACAGAAAACAGAGAAGAGGATGGAAGTAGGGTTAAAAGTAGAACTCATAAGCAGTACTCCTGCTTGTAGCCTGGTGCTTGCAACCGAGCTTGAAAATCTGTGTACAACCAAACTAACTAAACACACATTGCCGATAAAATGAGACTGCAAGAAATAAATCAACAGCTATGAGATCTACCATCACACTCACAGAACTCACAGAGGTTGTCTTAGCTACCACTGCTGCTGTTCGGAAAGGGAGGGTGTTGGTCTGAAAGGTCACTGTTCAAGCTAAGCTATCTTTAACACCCAGCCAATGTATTTTTATCCTATCAGCGCTGCTATTATTATCGATGTCTGTTCTTGTAAGCACAGATGAATGACTACTAGCTTCTACAGGAAGTCTGTTCTTGTAAGCACAGATGACTGACTACTGGCTTCTACAGAATGTCTGTTCTTGTGAGCACAGATGACTGACTACTGGCTTCTACAGGAAGTCTGTTCTTGTAAGCACAGATGACTGACTACTGGCTTCTACAGGATGTCTGTTCTTGTGAGCACAGATGACTGACTACTGGCTTCTACAGGAAGTCTGTTCTTGTAAGCACAGATGACTGACTACTGGCTTCTACAGGATGTCTGTTCTTGTGAGCACAGATGACTGACTACTGGCTTCTACAAGATGTCTATTCTTGTGAGCACAGATGACTGACAGCTGGTTTCTACAGGATGTCTGTTCTTGTAAGCACAGATGACTGACTACTGGCTTCTACAGGATGTCTGTTCTTGTAAGCACAGATGACTGACTACTGGCTTCTACAGGATGTCTGTTCTTGTAAGCACAGATGACTGACAACTGGCTTCTACAGACAAGCAACACATTCTTCTTCTTAGCGTTCACCGGCTGTAAACTCCAGTGGAAAGTTCCGGTTGTTCTGGACCTTAGTCTTGTTCCAAATCCTGAGTGTCGCATGCACATCTGTTTTACAGATCTGTCTTATCTGTATGCAGATTGTTGGTTTTTTGCCTCTCAGACAGATGCACTTCGACTACACGAAGCTTCCCAATTAGTCGATTCTTACGACCTCTTGTTGGAGTGGCAGTGGGTCTATTCTTGTTCTACTTACAATGGGGCCCTGGAATCCACACAGGGAGCAAAACATTCATTCTGAGAGTGTCTATGAGCTCTCCAAGTGCTGAGTGCAGGATGTATGTGCTGCTTTTTCTTCTAACATCATGGGGAACTGTTGTCACCGCTCTTGCAGCAAACACTCACTCCTTCTTTTCACTACGCCTTGCAGCGCTGGGACAGGGAGAGATCTCTGGAACAGGGAGAGATCTCTGGAACAGGGAGAGATCTCTGAAACCGGGAGAGATCTCTGGAACAGGGAGAGATCTCTGGAACAGGGAGAGATCTCTGGAACAGGGAGAGATCTCTGGAACAGGCCCTTCTGTTCGCTTATTACAAAGTACTTTTCAGTGTCTTAGTTATTTTTCTGCATGGTCGACTTCTGGCTCTGTTACTGTTGTATCTGTATAACCCTTCTCTGTGGTGCCCTGTCTGGTGCCAATCCTGTTACATGACCAAACCACCTGATCTGTTGTCTGCCTATGAAATTCAGTATCGGTTCTGTGCTGAATCTCCTCCTCATATCATCCTTCCTAATTCAATCTTTCCTTGTTACACCTAGCACAGTACGTAAATATTTCATTTCTGACGTGACTATTTTCCTGGGAAACTGTCCATGTTTGACACTGACAGCATAGCATTGGTAAGCACTCACTAGATGCAGAAGTCCCAGTCTTGGTTCCCGGGCCCCACTGTGGGGCCTCCCTGCCACTATAATAACGAGGCCACTGTTTGTAAACTATCAATATTGGTGCTAAGGATGTCAAGATTGTTAAGCATGTTACATCATTGTGTAGATAGACACGGTGACGCCACAATGACAATTTGAAAATTACCATCCCACTTTTCACATACATAAAAGAGCACCAAGTGTAGATAGAGCACATCACATCAATGTGCAGAAAAACATGGTGATGTCATAATAACAGTTTAAAAATAGCCACCCCACTTTTCACATGCACAAAAGAAGATCCATGCTCTGTTATCTATTTTTTGATCAGTGAAGGGATGAAACCATAGAAATTCTGAGAATTAAAGTCCAGTACGGTGTTGCATGCCTGTCAGTCCTGCAACTGTATGAGTGGAGCAGGAAGTTTGAAAACGGTGCAACTTCTGTCACACTTTTAAGGCTTTCATTTCAAGCCCCCTTGTAACTAGCTCCAAATCAAAAATTCTACGTGAATCTTAATGGTTAACTAATCTGTGTAAGAAACATCATTACACAAACACATGCTTGACTTCCCCACTAAACTAGCTTTCAATCAGAACTAGGATGCAAATCTTAATGACGAACTAATCTGTAAAACAAATGCTAGCTCACAACACTCTGAGTAAATAAGCTTATGTTCCCCTAGATTAGGGCTACCCAACTGATGGCCCGCACAGACCTAGCAAGTGGCCCGCGGATCACTGCTAGCTGTACTGTATTAATTATCTTTCTATGCTGGAGCTTGTGCTTCTGGCCAGTAATAATCCTCCCCATTTTCACAATTCTGGTCCTTGAGTAAACTTCGTTGAATAGCCCTGCCCTAGATAGTCCCAACAGTCACACAACACATACCTTCTGCAAACTTGAGGGATTCAACTGTGTCTTGTCAATAATTTTGATAGCCACCTGTAAAGTGAGAACACAACAGAGAATCAACAACATATAACAGATCTACCTGTAAAGTGAGAACACAACAGAGAATCAACAACATATAACAGATCTACCTGTAAAGTGAGAACACAACAGAGAATCAACAACATATAACAGATCTACCTGTAAAGTGAGAACACAACAGAGAATCAACAACATATAACAGATCTACCTGTAAAGTGAGAACACAACAGAGAATCAACAACATATCACACATCTACCTGTAAAGTGAGAACACAACAGAGAATCAACAACATATAACAGATCTACCTGTAAAGTGAGAACACAACAGAGAATCAACAACATATAACAGATCTACCTGTAAAGTGAGAACACAACAGAGAATCAACAACATATAACAGATCTACCTGTAAAGTGAGAACACAACAGAGAATCAACAACACATTACACATCTACCTGTAAAGTGAGAACACAACAGAGAATCAACAACATTTAACAGATCTACCTGTAAAGTGAGAACACAACAGAGAATCAACAACATTTAACAGATCTACCTGTAAAGTGAGAACACAACAGAGAATCAACAACATTTAACAGATCTACCTGTAAAGTGAGAACACAACATATTACAGATCTACCTGTAAAGTGAGAACACAACATATTACAGATCTACCTGTAAAGTGAGAACACAACAGAGAATCAACAACATATTACAGATCTACCTGTAAAGTGAGAACACAACAGAGAATCAACAACATATAACAGATCTACCTGTAAAGTGAGAACACAACAGAGAATCAACAACATATAACAGATCTACCTGTAAAGTGAGAACACAACAGAGAATCAACAACATATTACAGATCTACCTGTAAAGTGAGAACACAACAGAGAATCAACAACATATTACACATCTACCTGTAAAGTGAGAACACAACAGAGAATCAACAACATATAACAGATCTACCTGTAAAGTGAGAACACAACAGAGAATCAACAACATATAACAGATCTACCTGTAAAGTGAGAACACAACAGAGAATCAACAACATATAACAGATCTACCTGTAAAGTGAGAACACAACAGAGAATCAACAACATATAACAGATCTACCTGTAAAGTGAGAACACAACAGAGAATCAACAACATATAACAGATCTACCTGTAAAGTGAGAACACAACAGAGAACAACATATAACAGATCTACCTGTAAAGTGAGAACACAACAGAGAAACAACAACATATAACAGATCTACCTGTAAAGTGAGAACACAACAGAGAATCAACAACATATAACACATCTAATGGGTAAGTGAGAACACAACAGAGAATCAACAACATATTACACATCTACCTGTAAAGTGAGAACACAACAGAGAATCAACAACATATAACAGATCTACCTGTAAAGTGAGAACACAACAGAGAATCAACAACATATTACACATCTACCTGTAAAGTGAGAACACAACAGAGAATCAACAACATATAACAGATCTACCTGTAAAGTGAGAACACAACAGAGAATCAACAACATATAACACATCTAATGGGTAAGTGAGAACACAACAGAGAATCAACAACATATTACACATCTACCTGTAAAGTGAGAACACAACAGAGAATCAACAACATATAACAGATCTACCTGTAAAGTGAGAACACAACAGAGAATCAACAACATATTACACATCTACCTGTAAAGTGAGAACACAACAGAGAATCAACAACATATAACAGATCTACCTGTAAAGTGAGAACACAACAGAGAATCAACAACATATAACACATCTAATGGGTAAGTGAAAAGAAGAAAGAAATCAGCCAAGTATCTTCTTGTGCTCAGGCACTCCAATCTGGAAAATTACCTGATATACAGAAACTACTCTCCAAACTAGGCAATCGGTTTAAGGTAACTATGCAATGGATATCATCCCACTGTGGAGTTCCTGGAAATGAAAGAGCTGATAAACTAGTTAACTCATTGAGTCCCATGGGGTATAGCATCAGAGACCCACGTAGTGGTCAAGAGACGTAAAATTTAATTGGGCTTCTAGACAGGAACCTATGAACGTATGGTGCGTTTCTTGGGACTCAAAAATGGTTGGATACGGTGCAAATGAAAAACACCTGACGTAAGTCTCTTATCTACAGAAAAGAGAATAATCACATCAACCAGAAAGCCACCAAAACCAGCAAAAGACAATTACCATATCATGGACAGCTGTGCCTTAGGACAGAACACAATCAACTTCGCAGCCACATGTACACAAAATGTAAGATTGGCAAATCAGCTATGTACACGTGGATTAGCACCTGAGACAATAGATCACGTCCTCCACGACTGTTCCAAATATCAAGGCAAAACTGTTGGCCAAGAGAAACCCTGGTGCAAGCCAATCTTTACGTAAGGGTCGCTTACTGAATTACAACAGATAGTGAAGTTCATACTAGAGACTAAACTACATAAAATTAACATCTGTGAAATGAGATGCCCGAGAAAAGCCGCAAACTTAACCATCAGAGCCAAAGTTTGAAATATTATTATCAGACAGACTGTGGGAACATCATGCAGCAAATTAATTCAGAAACAGAAGATCAAATGGTTTGGTCATTTAGCGAGAATGCAGACAGAACAACTACCAATGCAGGCGCTTCACATGAAAGGATCTGAAGTGAAAGCAAGAGGCAGACCTAGGTGAATATGGATTGATGACATTAAAGAGCTTCTACAAACTGTTCTTCCACACAACACTTAATGGCAGAAGTGTAAACTGATGATGATGAGTGAAGTTCATACTAGAGATATCACTGGAGATACAGAAAATATATTTTAAGTGAACGAAAGAAGAAGAAGCACAGTTTACAGACTGAAATTATGACTACACTTATGGCAATAAATATCATCATCATCCTCAACCTGTTTTGGCGATAAATCTGATAATGTGTTCACAATCTACTTTTCTTCATTGTATCCGGTGCTGGGTACAAATATGCCAACCTCTCCCTTTAAGGATGAATGCAAAAGATGAACAAACCGTTTAACTGACTTCAACAGTATGTCAACTTCACTTTAACAGTATGTTGACATGATTTCAACAGTATGTCAACTTCACTTTAACAGTATGTTGACATGATTTCAACAGTATGTCAACTTCACTTTAACAGTATGTTGACATGATTTCAACAGTATGTCAACTTCACTTTAACAATATGTTGACTTGATTTCAACAGTACATCAACTTCACTTTAACAGTACATTGACTTGATTTCAACAGTACATCCACTTGATTTCACCAGTATGTCCCCTTGGCTTTAACAATCCAGAATTAGATGAACAACCAGAACTTTCCGCCAGAGCTTACAGCTGGTGAACGCGAAGAAGAAGAAGGAATAGTAATAGTAACAACAGCTGTACTAGTAGCAGAAGCAGCTGAGGAAGTAGCAGCAACAGTAGCAGTGGTGGTTGTAGCACAGTAACAGAAGCAGTAGTGATAGTAGCAGCAGTTGTATCAGTAGCTGTAGTATGTAATGGTAACAGCTGTACTAGCAGCGGCAGAAGCATGATGGTTGTAGCACAGCAACAGAAGCAGTAGTAATAGTAGCAGCAGTTGTATCAGTAGCTGTAGTATGTTATAGTAACATTGGTACTAGCAGGGGTAGTAGCAGTGGTGGTTGTAGCACAGTAACAGAAGCAGTAGTAATAGAAGCAGCAGTGGTATCAGTAGCTGTAGTATGTTATAGTAACATTGGTACTAGCAGGGGTAGTAGCAGTGGTGGTTGTAGCACAGTAACAGAAGCAGTAGTAATAGAAGCAGCAGTGGTATCAGTAGCTGTAGTATGTTATAGTAACATTGGTACTAGCAGGGGTAGTAGCAGTGGTGGTTGTAGCACAGTAACAGAAGCAGCAGTGGTATCAGTAGCTGTAGTATGTTATAGTAACATTGGTACTAGCAGGGGTAGTAGCAGTGGTGGTTGTAGCACAGTAATAGAAGCAGTAGTAATAGAAGCAGCAGTTGTATCAGTAGCTGTAGTATGTTATAGTAACAGCTGTACTAGCAGCGGCAGAAGCATGATGGTAGTGGTACAGATTAACTTACTTCTCTCCCTGTAGGCACATGCTTGGCCAGCTTGACCTTGGCAAAATTTCCCTTGCCGATTGTCTTAATGAGACGATACTTTCCAATGTGGGGCTCATCATTGGCTCGTGTCCTGGTCGACTGTAACCGTGTCGTTGACGAGGATGCTGGAATTGTTGAACTATTTTCATCAGTGCCCTGTGAGAAAGAGAATAACATGACAGTAGATGTGATGCCCCCAAACAACAGTACTGTTTTAGGTAGTTCGATCTTAATTTTTTTTTTTTTATAATGTTTTGTGTGTGTGGTTGTAATTGTGCTGTGCTCATTTACAGCAAAGCTGTGACATCTGTGCCTTATAGTTGACACAACTGCTTTCTTCAGACATATGCTACCTATATTAGCTTTTCTAGTTGAAGCATAGCACACTGCATAGAGTAGTGATCAGCAGCAATCTAGCTAGCAACCAAGATAGTACAGCGACAACATAGCTAGTACAGCTGGAAAGATGGTACAGCAGCAACCTAGCTAGTATACCAACAACCTAGCTAGTACAGCAGCAACCTAGCTAGCACAGTAACAACCTAGCTAGTACAGCAGCAATCTAGCTAGCACAGCAACAACCTAGCTAGTACAGCAGCAACCTAGCTAGTACAGCAACAACCTAGCTAGTATACCAACAACCTAGCTAGTACAGCAGCAACTAGCTAGCACAGTAACAACCTAGCTAGCACAGCAACAACCTAGCTAGCACAGCAGCAACCTAGCTAGTACAGCAGCAACCTAGCTAGTATAAAAAGTAAAGTAAAGTAAAGATCCCTTTACACGCCCTTAGGCGCATCTGGCATATGGGAAGAGCACCCATATTTTTACAGACCAATCGGCACTCAGTGGGTAATGTGTTCAGCATTACGCCAGCCGTCTTTACTTTCCCAGGACAGCCCATCCTGGTACCCATTTGAGGCTGGGTCGACCTGCGACGTCCCATACCACGATAAAAATCCATGCAGCCCACGTAGGTTTCGATCGCGGTACGTTGGATTACGAGTCAGACTCGCAACGCCTTAGCCATGGACGCCGCTGCCTAGCTAGTATAGGCAGCAATATACTCTGTAGAGTCAGCAAAATCTGAAATTACAACACAACTTATTGTACACAGCCAACATAAGTGTGATTACACAATAACACTGTAAACAACATGCACACTGATCATTCATCAACAATGTATACAACATACAACAAAATTCAACATCTTTTGAACTATTCAACAACCTGGTCTCACACATACAAAACCACACAGAAGTGTCACCCGAATTAAATATAATACATTTGACCACACATTTCTCCCTGCGTAGGTTCCCTGGTTCCTAACAGGTACGTCATAAAAGGCAACTAATTACAGGTGTTTTCTTTGAAGAGGGAGGGCATCTGCCTGAGAGGTGAGAAACCAACACAAATACGGCAGGTCTGTAAAACGGATATGCATGCAAACTCAAGTTGTAGAACAATACCTAAGTCCAAAAGTGGGCGAACAGTCAGAACTTTCTGCCAGCGTTTACAGATGGTGAAAATGAAGAAGACAATACATTTCTACATACAGAAAATGGTGCGTGTCCTATCACTGCAATATTGGTGGTGCCCTTTTGTGATTAATATTGATTGCGCGCGCAACTGCTGATCTGTTGGCGACTTCTGCTACCGTCGATGATGAACTATATTTCTAATGTCAAACTGTTTGTGTTAGCACTTCTGATGGCTACCGTATGCTTTAATGCGTGTGTATGCTAGTGCATATGCTGAGACAGCAGTCGGTCAATCTTTCTACAAGGGACTGCGACGAACATTCTGTGTGTTTTTCGTTGGCACAGGAGCAGAGCAACTATAGGGTGACTCGTTTGCTATGAAGCTGAAACTAAGATTACCAAGATTAAATTTCTACATACATCATATATCCCCACAGCACTGCTGTTTGATATTCATTTCATTTTTCTTCCCAATTAACATAGTTCCCCACTGAACTGGTTATGTGACCATCATTTAAATTTAACTCACTACTGATATTTCAAAAAGACTGTGGAAGATAAAATGTCACATATGCTTAGTGACTCGTTAAATGTTTCCCTCCTGCAGTACTGCTGGAAGCCATTTTATGAAGTCCACTACCATAGACAGCAAGAAGTATCTATCAACTAAATCTTTTTTTTTATTCACTCTCCAGTGCTGCAATCTGAAAGTCTGACAGCCAGTGACTCCAAAATCCACTTTCTGGATGGCAGTCCAATAGTTTCAAATCCCAGACACTCCATCCAACCACATAGAACATCAAAAAGATCAATATATACAGCTATGCGGAAAAAACAAGCGCTGTTCTTTGGTCATGTGATGAGGTGAAAGGTTTTATAGAATAGTGTGATAACTGGGAAGATCAACGGTAGAAGGAGGAGAGGCTGACAGAGAGATGATGATGATAGATTGCCATAGTAGCATGGAGGGATATTATCGGGAGAACTGATCCAGAGGACAAAGGACAGAGATCTGTGGAGATACAAGAACGCCCTTACCAGACGGTAGGGCACCTGATGGTGATGATGTTATAAAACATGAGACACCCTACAGCTACCCAAAGTAAACTGTTGTCCCATCTGGGAGAGGACTATGAGCTAGAAGTTAAGAACCATAATCATAGCACTTGAGAGATTCCCATAAGCACGCCATCCACATCTTCAGCAGCACGTGCCGAGTTCTAATTCCAATAGTACCTGTAACAATCTGATTGTATGTGATCTCACCCCTCCTCTAAGTGTCCAGCATCAGCCAGAATCTCCTGGCCACTCCTCGTTGCACCATTCTCTCCAGACCGTGAGAGTTTACTCCTCCCAAAAAGGTCCTTCTGTCATACAGTTTATCATGCATCAATTTACCACCAAGTTGTGCAGAATCAACGGAACTGGCCACTCCTCGTTGCACCATTCTCTCCAGACCGTGAGAGTTTACTCCTCCCAAAAAGGCCCTTCTGTCATACAGTTTATCATGCATCAATTTACCACCAAGTTGTGCAGAATCAACGGAACTGGCCACTCCTCGTTGCACCATTCTCTCCAGGCCGTGAGAGTTTACTCCTCCCAAAAAGGCCCTTCTGTCATACAGTTTATCATGCATCAATTTACCACCAAGTTGTGCAGAATCAACGGAACTGGCCACACCACAACATTATGCTAGGACTAAGCTTCTATAAGCTACAATGACTGGTTAGACACCCTTCAGATACAGAAACAGTATAAATCAATTCCAAGAGTCTACTATATGATCTAGGAGTCGCCGTGGTGTAGTGGCTAGGTGCTCGCCTGCGGATCAGAAGGTTGCGGGTACATGTCCTGGCGGAGCAGGACTTTTTTTTTTAATAATGACCTTGGCTCCCATGTCGACCCAACCTTGAGTTGGTAACATCCTGGGAAGTAAAGGAGGTTGGTGTGATGCTCACATCACCCATCGATTGTTCTGTAGAATATAGGTCTAGCCCTATATACCCAATTTGCCTTAAGGCGTAGAAAAAGGTCCTTTACTTTTACTTCACTACATAACCTAAACATCGAGGAGAATTGGCTCAGAAACAGCATCCTGTCCCATAAGCTGAGGCATTCTGGCCATGTTAAGTGTCATGGTGGCCCAGAGAGAACAGCAATGTAGGGTTCAGTTTCTGGGAAATGAAACACAAAAGAAGAAGAACTATTCCATCACAGAAAGGTTACTGAGATCATTGGTTTCCTCCAACTACAAGGTGGGTTAGTGTTTATGAACAATTTACTTCAGTAAACTCTCTCAGTCCTAAAATATTGTTAACTTCTATTCCAAAGATGCTTTTCCACTCCTTAGGTGCATTAGGCATATAGTGCTGGACTTCTAGGCTATCCTCCAAACAAAGGTCCCAAATTATCGAGGGTGAAAATATACCCTAACAGGGCCTCAGTCTCATGTAAAAAGCAGACCTCATTCTGGTGACAACGAGTATAAAAAAATAGGTAGCACAGCAACAACCTAGCTAGTACAGTGCCACGAGTATCCCCCGCGCCGGATAGCTGGGTGGGGATCGGGGCTAAACTAGAAGGCTGGGACTCACGAGCATATAAAATGGAGAAAGCTGAAGGAGATGCTGTAGCTGCTGCTCGTGAGTCCCAGCCATCTAGTTTAGCACTGCTAGGTGCAGGAAACTCTCGGCGGTGACTTTAACTCGGCGGAAGCTTTTTGGCAGTATGCTGTGTAGTCGCCAGAAAGAGGTCCTCAATTTACATGTGCCTAAGGCCCTGTTAGAGTATATTTTCGGCCTTGATAATTTGGGACCGTTATTCGGAGGATAGCTGACTAATAGGCCAACGCACTATGGGAGGGGGGAAAGAGGTGGTGGTGGTCAACATTAGGCCAGCCACATTTGCTTCCTGTAACTTCTACTTTTCAACTTTAGGACTGGGTCAACCAGGCAGCTATGGTCATTTTTGTTAAAGGTCTGGTTCTGTTTGGATTTGAACCTATAATCTTTGGATCTGCAAGCAAAGGTCTAGCCACCACAACATGGCAGGTCCTTTATATTCCAAGGGATTATGATTAATAGCAGTCAATATTTAGGTCTGAGGAAACTCAACAAAGATACCATGACAGAGAAGTAGATAAACAAGTAATTTAGGCACTAAGGGTTAATATAACAAATGTATGTGATAGAAGACAGATGAAACATTTTCTCTGGATAGGCAAATGAATGTAGTGTAGGGTGTACTGTTAGAAACTGAAAAAGTTAGAAAGAGTTAGATTGCTGCTACTCTAATGAAAGCAGGCAGCGATCAAATATGTAGACAGACCTCCCTAAATATCTGGCTCAAGTTTACTCATAACAGCTGTTCATTCATCTCTGATAATCTTATCTATTGTTGTTCAACAGGGACTTCTTTACCAGTCTTTTCCTGTTCTCTTTAGTATAGTTTTAAGTCAGCAGTGTTTTTTAATGGCCATGCCAAAATTACTGATGTCTCCTATATCATTTAATTTACTTCTTTCTCAGCTCTCTTTTTTTTTTTTTTTTGATTCAGATTTGTTTTCTATGACCACCAGAATAAAGATTACTGTATTTGCATAGTTCTAGGGCTCTTCAAATGTTAACTACTTGCCAAATGTCCATATGTCATACTGAGTGTGATTCAATGTTATATATATATATATATATATATCAATTAATGTTGCATAGTAATAGTAGCAAGCAACAAAGGTGGTACCGGTTAAAAAGTAAAACTTAAGGTAAGACTAAGTGATTTTCATAAAGGTATGTGGTAACTCAAACTGCATTAAACAAGACATAACTGGTGCCTTCAGCTTAACTAAGTCTTTATCAGGCAATAAAGACGCAATAAATATAAAGACTACTCAACAAATCAAATGTAAGATCGAGGAAAGTTCGATGTGTCATGTTCATGACATGATCACAAGTCGGCTTTTAGGTACGGCGGTACGGCACACCGTTACTTAGATTTTAAAGTTGTCAGCAGGAAGAGGGGGATGATATTTCCATTAACAAACAGTTAAATACTTTAATTCTTACAGAATAAAGGGCATCCTGTCTTCAAACAGTATTTTAATAATTCAAAACTTATTTTCTTACCTCTTTTGTCCTTGTTGAACTATGCCCAACGGTGACAGATTCGGGAACCGTGTGAAGTGGGGCTCTTGTGGATGCCGACATCTTGAATTCTTTAACTCATTAACTCCGTGTACCCAATTAACACCTAAAATATTGATGCATACGCTATCAGCGTTCCGTCAAAGAAAAATCATCCGTAAATCTGAAGTGTGCAAATAATTCTCAGTGACAGTCGAGGTGTTTTGGTGTCTCTCCCCCTCTCTGTCGACAAGCCCGGAAACGGGTTGTTATGGTATAAATCTGTCAAACTGGAAACAAATTTACGATAAATTCCACACTGAACATACTATCCCGTGACAAGCCGTGCTAGATCATGTTCATTACTACCAATAATTTTTTTCACGGCCATTTCAAGCGGGCGAACTAATAACTTCACAACGAAAATGCATGACTAGTTGATATAGGAGAATATCTGACACCGACAAAATGGCTGACTTGAGTCCACGCCAGAACGAGGGTGGCTGCGCATGGAGGTCAAAGCAGACGACTAGGTTTGATTGGCTCCCTTGAGGAGATATGACATCATTCCAGTGGGAACAGCTGAGCGGGATTTGAACCTTTTCCTTGTGCTCTCACATGCCTTTCTTTCATAAATCACAGGTGTCTTATCCACCAGTCGTTGCATTTTGAGTTATGGTTAAACTTTGGTGTGATACGTGTGGTTAGCAATAATCGCGTCAACTAATGTAGACGCTAAAGATGTATACAGGTGTTTCGTGTACCCTTGAGGGAAACGCCCACATGTAGACTTCTGAAGAGGAACCCTTCCCTTGCGCTCTCACACGCCTTTCTTTTATAAATCACACGTGTCTTACCTTCAAATCGTTACATTTAAAGTCATGGTTAAACTTCGGCGTGAGATCTGTAGCTAGCAATACTCACGTCAACAAGTGTAGACACTGAAGTTGTATACAGGTTTTTCTTTTTTTACCTTTGGAGTAAACGCCCAAATAAAGGCTACAATAGCTAATTTCAATTATAAAAAAAAAAAAAAAATTATCAAAGGATGCCGTGTTGGTAGCACTCTCGCATGCCTGTCTGGTAATTACGTAATTTCTAGTCGAGGCGTTAATCAAGAGACTAAGTTTGACAGACTTCTTTAAGAAGATGCGATATTCTAATGGGAACAGCTAGGGGAAGAATCGAACCCCCTCCTTTTAATTCTTGTCATTCCTCATTCACATATGTCTCGGTTTCCAGTCTTTATATTTAAAATAATTCGTAAACTTCAGCGTGATAAGTGCACCTAAAATTTTCACATCAACAAGTGTAGACACTTGCGATGCATTCACGTTTTTTTTTAAACTGGGTTTTATCCAATAGAGCTTGGTTTCTCATTGCAGAACAGTTAGCCGCCTACCGAGAGCGTCACGCAAAGCACAAAGTCTGTAGCTCCGGCAAAGTATCCCGGGAATCTCCGTACAAATTGCACTCGTGAATCTAACGATGCAACCGTGAAACGAACCCACGACAATCTGAGCACGAGGAACACGAAGTACTGTGCTACACTATCTCACCTATTCCTGTCAGCAACTTGTTGCGCCATCTTTCTATGTTGTTGCTGGGGTAGTATCCAGATATTAAGACATTCCACTTCCTTTTGTTTATCTATCCTTCAACTTTGCCGTCATTAAACCACGTAGGGTGTCACTCACTACACTGTGTATTCAAACTACACCGCGACATTTGAAAGTTTTATTTTCACTGCAGCTGTATGAAGAAAAAAAACTAATGGCTTATCTTTGGTTACTGCCAGTATACATGTTATTATATGCACCAGAATATAACATGAAACATTAATACATAAAAACAAGCATTGGTGTTTTTTCGCTGCTCGGTTTTACAACACGTCATTGAGTAGCACTTTAATCTGTAAATCATGCAACTTAATTGAGTGGAAAATGATCTGTGGTTTCAGTACAAGCGTAAAACATGCGTATCGGCGTCATGAATACAGGACTGTGACATTAAGCAGAGGTCAAGGTATTTTGGTATATGTGCATTTTACAAACAGTTTGGGTAACTAGTGACTGGTGTGCACTGTTGCTGTCTATATTTGCTGACAGTTTAGGTAAATGCAGGTAAAGAGACAGATTGGTAGAGGGACGAGTAGAAAATGTAGCTTGGAAAGACTGATAGACAGACAAACCGGTGGATGCGTGAAATGATGGGTCATGACCTACTTTAGATTACAGATAGCCTTATTACAGATAGCCTCGGATGGATGCGCAGACAGACAAATAGTTAAGTGTGTCGGCAGCAGTCAGACAGACTGAAAAATGGCTGGAGACAAACAGATAAACAGACAAATAGATTTACTGAGTGAATGACAGACATACAGCAGACAAATAAGCTGAACAACAGACTTACAGGCAGGCATGAAGAAGAACAGTTAAAGGCAAAAAGAAAATCCCTAAGGCCGGCAGGTGAGATAATGATTCAATATAAAGGTCTACAAACAAGCATTTCAGCGATTGAATTAGTAAAAACTGTTATATACTATACACACACACATTTTTTTCTTCTTCTTTCTTCTTTTCTCTACTCCTGAAATGCCTCACGGCGTCAGGGTAAGAAGCTATCTCTGGAATGGGCCCTTCTGTTCGTTTCGTATACAGTACCTTTGATATCTCTTATATTTGTGCCGTCGAGTGAATAATGAAACTATCAGGCAAATTGTGGGAATGACACCTTGTACTAGATTCATCGAGAAACAGTAGATCAAGTAGTAGTTTGGCCATCTCGTTAGAATGCAGCAATATCAAATACCATCACAAGCACTACATCTCAGAAGATCAGCTCCAAGAGCAAGAGGACGGCCGCGGAGAACATGGACCGACAACATTAAAGACACTCTACGCCTTCACGTCATGACAATAGCCAGTGGCAGCCAACGTGCACTGGATCGCAAATTATTCCTCCCCACGACGTTTAACGGCATAAGTGGTTTATGGTGATGATGATGATGATATTTGTGCGTGGTCGACCTCTGGCTCTGTTACCGCTGTATCTGCATAACATTGCTCTCTGTGGTGCCCTGTCTGGTGCCAGTCTTGTTACATGGCCAAACCATCTGATCTGCTGTCTAGCTATAAAGTTCAATATTGGTCCTGTGCCGACTCTCCTCTTGGTGTCATCGTTCCTAAGTCGATCTTTCCTCGTTACACCTAGCATAGTACGTGAACATTTCGTTTCTGTCGTGACTATTTCCTTTCTGTTTTCTATGCCGGGTTCGATCCCAGCTGCGGGCCATGTGCCTTGCTTTGATTTCGACAGTGATATCAAGAAAGCCGACCGTCCAGTAAGCAATGGCAAACTACTTGACGTAAATTTGCCTAGAAAAACCACACAACAGTCAAGGGCTGTTGGGGTTGGTTCTGCAACGTCCTGTAAAGGATACGCAACTAACCTTCTGAAGAGAGTGTCCATGTTTGACACTAATAGCATAGCGTTGGTAAGAATAGTGTGTTGAACAATGTTCTTTTAGTGCATTTCAAAATTAGGGCCATTTGGTCTAAAACTTGATTGGCTTTATTGCATCTTTGCTGTATTTCTTTATTAATTAGTCCATCTTCAGAAAATATGCTCAAAATATTGTTTAATTATTATTAGAATTGTTTATCTTTTTTTAACGTTTTCAAAACACTTATTTGTGTCCTCTTGTCACCTCCCAACCCCTGGGTGATGACATTTGGGACGGCACTCCCCTCCCCCCTCCAACACTTCCCGTCCTTTTTAGGATGACATTTTTCGTTATTTAAAGCCCTACTTTGGCTCTTGCCAGGGGCCGCAATATAGCCCGGCCATAAATATGGCCTAATGGCTGAACGCGGTTTCTGGGACCTCTCCACGGTGATCCTCCTCCACATGGTGGCACATTGTGTCATCGGGTGTTTATCGCTTGTGTGATGTCCTGGTGGGGTAAAAAGTCAGTCAGTTCCCCCCTCCCCCACCACCTCCTATCCTCAGCCCTTTTTATCGCTACTGATGCAATATGTCCTGTAGAGTGTGAATAACTCAGGCTTTAACAATAGGACATGGATGTTTTGAGACCGAGGTTTATGGCGTTGGGCTCTCATGCTCGAGGCTATTGCAGCCGCCACGAATTGTGCAGGTTAGGATGGTTATTTTCGCCCCCAGTACAAAAATCTACGTAACCTTACCGAGGATTGCGAAGCGGGACTTCCACATGACAGCCCAACGCTCTAATCATTCGACCAGCTGCGCTTCAACGAATCAGAATTAGCAGCTGGGAGGATTTATGCTTGAACAAGTCCAGGAAGTTTGGGTGGACTGTGCCTGCCGGAAATGGTTAGGCTGTGTGGTCATCACCTGACCATCCGGTTCTAGTCACAAAAGTCTGGCTCAGCTACACACTAGCTGACCTTTCATTCATGCTTTTTCTTGCTGATCTAAATTACAGGGGTCTTGTCTCAGATCCTACAATCGGTGACCGACACGATATCTAGAACTGGCCCTAACACAAACCCTTTAGCCTACAGCCTCAGCCTAGGTCCCATGAGAGAGTGCAGCGTACGACCCGTTGAAGCAACGCTTTGCTGCTTTCAGAGTTTAAAAGGCAATGTCGTCGGCTGCTGCTCACATACAAACGATTAACAGGCAACACAGAAAGCTTTCCGAAGACATCAGTACACCGTGACACCCCTCTAACGCAGACCAGCATAAGCAAACATGAATAAAAGGTCAGATAGTGTGTAGCTGGGCCTGACTTTGTTGCCACAACCGACCATCCCATAAAAAGACGATCAGGAGTGATTATAATCCTCTGCTGGAGTGACGCATGGGGAGTCTGGTGCTAGACCTATTCAGGAGCCCCACGAGCATGAGGGCCCCATGCTAATCCGCATACAGTAAAGGCTCCTCGTCCACGCCTTCAGGTGGGTTGGGCATATAGGGCTAGACCTATATTTTATAGACCAATCGGTACTTGGTGGGAGATGAAGTCAGCATCACGCCGCCTGCCTTGACTTCCCATGACTCCATCTGGTACCATCTCAAGGCTTGTTCGACCTGGGAGCCAA